ATATTTTATGAAGCGAGCACTTCTTGAAAAATATGCCTACGTGCAAGTCTGTGTCATTTACACACCAATAATTCAAACTAAACTGAAAAACATTCCTTATATTTACATTTTACATGTTCAAAAGCACAAGAAATATACTGAATGTTTGCATTATTCGCTGCCCTATATCGTTAAATTTTTGTAAACGTCTCTGTAGCTCATTGTGACGTCACTTTAGCGCGAGTTTCTCCGTGCATATTTCTACGCGTGAGTATACACGTAAATGGCATTAAAATCAATTTCACAGTTGGCTTAGTAGAAAAACTTAGCAAAGGTAAATATTTTGTAATAAAATACCTGCACATGCAATTTCAACCTTATACATACATCCCTACCAAAGTTTTTTTTTTTGACAATTGTTTTTTTTTTATTTCCCAGACCTATACTATAACATTTGAATTCCCTACACGAATCTTTATGACAGCTTCCAGGGATGGGGCCCTGACTAAGTTCCATCGAAATACAATTATAGCATAAATTAGTCCTACATCATCTCGCAGGATGATGACATGATAATAATATTACTTGCAGATGAAAAATAAATAATGGTAATTATAGAGTTGTATACACACACACACACACACACATTCATACATATACATTAATTTTACAACCAGAAGAAAAGAAAAGTACAAGTTTATTTAATATTGTATGAATATTAATACATTCCAATTGCTGTCGAAAGGGGACATCACATACATTCACTCAGTCCTTGGGTTCCCCTTCAGCAGCACTACTAGAGGGACAGAAACCGTCTAGCAGCGGGAATTATTTAATTTTTCTTATAAAAATGAATTAATTTGATACATAGGGATTACATGAACAGACTTTTTTTTAGTTTTATAAACTTATATCTATATAGTATTACAAATTACAGTAATTTTATAAACTTTCCAATAATATCTACATTTAGAGCACTATTACAAAACTTAATTACTTACACCAAAATACTGTAGATTTTTTATATGATGTACAACATTATATTCAGTTTCGTCAAGATTTTCTGTTCTACAAAACGTTTTGTATTTACATATTTTTAATGCAATAAAGGAAATAAAATTGTTCAGAAAGTATGTTTTCTGGTTACGTTCAAAATAAAAACCGATAACAATGTCTTTCCATTGAATGTTAACTTTAAACACAGTTGAAGCTATATCCCATATATATTTAACATGTCTACATTCAAAAATAAGATGGTGCATGTCTTCTACAACAGAACAAAGAGAACACTTGTCTGTGGTATCCTTTTTCCACTTAACCATATATTTTTTACAACAAAGTAAATTGTGCAATAATTTGTAATTGAATTCCGCAATGTTTTTATCTATAGCCAGTTTAATCTTTTGCTGATAAATAGATTTCCACATTTTTTGACTAACATTGAACATTTCTCCAAGTATTCGCTGATGTTTTTGGCGGAATAACTTTTTACTTAGAAGGATATCATAGAAAAATTTACATTTCTTGCTTTTTTCCATGACAATTAAAATACCTTTTGTTCTTTATGTTAATAAATTTATATTGTTGATCTTTACTTTTTTCTCTAATATATTTAAAAATTGTCTTGAAAATTTTATATTCACACAATAAATTTGACTTTTTTTGAATTTCTTCTCCTATATTTTCGATGATTTTAAATCCACCATCTGAAAAGAGATCTTTTACATGTTTTATATTTTTAACCCAATTTTTAAAGAATACCGTTTTTCCCTTATACAAAAACAGTCTATTATTCCATCCCTACCAGAGTTAGAGAGTGGAAACTGAATTTTTTCTGTGTTCAAGAGAAATAACCATGACCAAATTCGATCTTGACCTATATTCTTAGTAAAATACCTGCATATGCAATTTCAGCCTTATACATACATCCCTAAAAAAGTTAGAGAGCGAAAGCTGAAAATTTCTTATTTTTTTTCTAAGTTCAAGAGGGATAAATCTGACAAAAATCATCGAACCAACACCAAATTCAAACTTGACGTGTATTTTTTTAGTAGAATATCTGCATATGCAATTTCAACCTAATACATACATTTCTACAAAATGTAGAGATCAGAAACTGAAAATTTCTCCTTTTTAAGTTCAAGAGTGATAGCTCTTTCAAAAACCATCGGACCAAGACCAAATTCAAACTTGACCTGGATATTCCTATAACGTATCCATATGTCAAATTTGAGTTGAATGTGTGCAGCTGTTGCTGAGATAATTAACGGAAAGTCAATGATGACGGAATGACGGAACAGGGTACACTTTATGCCCCGACCATTTTATGGCTGGGCTAAAAATTCCAAAATAATATCTGTTATGTTTTCAACACCGTTTTTGTCATTATGTTTGGTTAGTACTTCAGTAAATGTAAAGAAGTAAGATGACATGGATTGCTTAATAAGTGTGTGTAATTTTATTCACTCAACCATATAACAATTATTGCCGTTTTTTTGGTCAATACGATGATTATTATAAGCCACCTTCGAAGTACAATATTCACCTTTTTATTTTTTTTGTGGTTTTTGTTTTTCTTTTTTGCTTGTAAATTTTTTAAGAGGCTGTCTCCTCCCCTTTCAAAAACACAGGTTGTCAAAAGGCATATTAAGGACTATTCAAAAGCCCAAAAGGTAAATAACGCATTTTTCGAATAACGCCCTTTGAAAAGGAGTAAAAACGCCCTTTTGAAAGGCGTAATAATGACTTTTAGAAAGTCATAATAACGCCTTTTGAAAAGGTGTAATAACGCTTTTTGGATAGGCGTAATATCGGCTTTAGGAAAGGCGTTATTACGCCTTTTTGAAAGGCGGTATTACACCTTTTCAAATGGCGCTAAAATGCATGCGAAGTATAAAGGCGTTATAGTGCCTTTTTGCGTTATTTCGCCTTTATTGGCGTTATAACTCCTTTTCACTTCGCGATATTACGCCTTTTTTCGCGTTAATGCGGCGTTTTGAAAAGGCGTTATTACGCCTTTTATTTTTTTTTTCACCCATAGATTGATCTTAGTAGGCTTTCCTAATAATGGATAATCATATACATGATAAAAACAGAACCTTACAGAACAAACCAATGTGATTGCTTTGTTCACATTCATTTATTTACATTTGCAAATATTTTTCTTAGATGAATCTATTGAAGAGAAAATATGTTCAATTCTGTATTATTATTAGGGGGTCAGAGGTCATGGCGTGACCGAATCACACAGCGAGATGATATCTTGTCTACATATTTCTGTCCCGGTGACACTGGTTTCGGAAATTCTAAGCCGTTAAAGCGATGAAAAAGATAAAATTATTGAAACATATATGTTTTTACGTTCAACAAATGATCATTAGTTCTTTCTTCGGTGTAAAGAATGTTTTTAATTAGCCTAAAATCACGCTTACCTTTTTAACCAGAAATTCCTTTGACGGTAGGCCTATGTAAACTGAAGACGATACCACCGCTTTTGACTTCATATATAAAAAACTCATACAATACTAGTAAGGTTATTCTCAGTAGCGATCATTGTTTTTTTATTATGATGAGATATTTCTTGAACTGGACTGCTGAACATCAATAGGTGCGTTCAGAATTCTACCATTGGTGAATTTGAGAACGACCACTGGTACATGTAGCATTTGGTTGCCATCAGTAAACTATGGTAATCATTGGACACCAAGGGATACCATTTGCAATAAATTTTCCCTGTAGAACTATGAACGATTTTTTGTCTAATTCAAACAAATGGCAGCACTTGGTTACAAATAGTAGCCATTTGTAAAAAATTGAACCAAAGAAACGGGCAAAATAATAATTCTCATAGCCGTGATAAGATTTTGCAAAAATGGTCTATCATATTAATACCACAAACTTATTTTCAGAAGTTCTTGTAAAAAAAAATGTCACAAGGATACAGAAATAATACCGGTATGAGCCATTTATATTGTTGTATATGTAAGATGAAATTGCATGTATATGCACAAGATGTGACATTTTTTTGATTGACAAAATTCCAGATAAATGCAAATTCCATACATATTGGTAATGATAAAACAAAAACGTGTACAATAGTGCACTTTTTCACTTAATTTGCCAAAGCCGCCATGTTGAATTGGTATGGTGACGTCATGCACCAATCTTGCCGACACTCTAGACTGCTGGTAGATTTGGTGACCTCATTTAAAATTGAAAGTACACTGATGGTGAACTGTGATAACCAATTGCTACTATTTGCAACCATTGGCAAATGTTGGTGACCTAACATGCCGCTGGTTACAATCTGATGAACTCTGAACGCACCTAAAGTAAGTATTAAAATGTTGGAGCGAGGCGAACTCTCGAGACCAAACAGCTTCTAGGTCATTACGCGTCACAACATAGCAATACGGCGGACCGTTCGTGTAATAAATGCAGTTCTTTTCAGAATATTCGTCTCAAATGTAAATAAAAGTAATAAAAAACAATGTTAAAAAGTTCACTGGGAAATGAACTTGGTTGGTACGTGATCAAATCTTCTGAGAAGCCCTTCGGGCTTCACATGATTTGATCACATGACCAACCAAGTTCATTTCCCAGAGAACTTTTTAACAACAATGTTAAAAAGTTCACTGGGAAATGAACTTGGTTGGTACGTGATCAAATCTTCTGAGAAGCCCTTCGGGCTTCACATGATTTGATCACATGACCAACCAAGTTCATTTCCCAGAGAACTTTTTAACATTGTTGTTTATTTCTTAAATGTCTGTCCATCTGTCTAGCCATCTGTCTAATTGTTTTTTTTAAAAATCTTTGTAGAATCAAAAGAGAAAAATCCATATTTCGCAATTTAAATGGCTTTTCTCGAACACTACGTTAACTTATTATATAGCTGTTATCAACAAAATAGCCACGATTTTTTCACGAAGAAGGAAAAACCTTTTTATCAATGGGGGAAAAGGTGAATCGCTCAATGAAGAATAAAAAGTTAACCCTTATGTCCAGAAATAAAATAAACATAAAAGGAATTATATTTCAGTATTACATCTAAGTTACACTAACATTGCCTTGTTCAAACATCGGATGAATTGAGTGTTTCGTCAACAGCATTAATAAAATAATCATGTATAAGAAAACAAAAGAAATCGTAAATATTTATACAGTCATACATTGCTCATCCTTAATACCAAATATTTGAACTGAAAACTAGATAAATATGATCATACATTCAACAATCTCAGGATTGAAAACGCCAAACATCGGAACCAATTGTTCTGAAAAGTTTACAGAATTAAATATGAACAATTCTCTCTCACTTAGTAGATCTCTAAAGGTTATATAACCGTATACTCCACTAACAACTACATCGAATCCAAAAGTTAATGTTGTTCCTTCCGTAGAGGGAGACAAATCAGTGTGTTTTAACAGTCGTTGATTTTCAAACTTCAAGTTAACAAATTTTGTATCACATGTGGCATACATACTCAAACAATGCGATAAATAACCTCCGTAAAAAAAACATATCAAATTTGTCATCACAAAAAGTTACGTCAAAAATAAAAGCCGACCCTCTGCATGTCTTCTTGATTTCGTAACGCACGATAAACTTCAGTCTTAAGTCTTCCCCCTGTGTAACTTTATTGACAGCTTTGGCTCCCTCATATCGCTGTAGGGATTCTTCTCCAGGTCCTGCTACAGCTAACGGAAACATGGTATTGCTGAGAATTTTCTTACTCTTTGACAAGTAGACGGTTCTGTGCAGTGATGATGAATTAAACTCTACAGAATCTAAAAAAACAAAAGGGAAAAAAGATAAGTAGAAACGAGTGTCGCGGTGACTTTTGTTCAATAACTTTTCTTCAGCATTTTTTTTTTAGTATGCGACAAAATAAGCAACAAAGAAAACCTTTTGAGTCAAATAGTTGGCTAAATGTTACCCATGGTTTGTAGTTTATTACATGTAGTTCTGCAGAACATTAATGTGTCACAAGGAATCACACACAAAACAAATGTAGAATGCTAAAATTATATTTGAAAAATAGTTAGCATCAGTTAATTACATTGTCAAGTGAATTTTAACACTGCATTGATTTTTTTTTAATTATGGAAAAACACTTTATATGAAAGGTTTTAAAACTTTTAAAACGCTTAGCAAGCAATATATTATTGTATTTAAAAAAGGTCGAAATAGATCAAATGTTGTAAGTTGGAAAACTTTAAAACACTGGAAAAGGTAGTCCTTGATATTCAATCCTAAAGAAGTTGTACATGAAAAAATGCTTTTGGGATTTTTTTCCCGTTTTACATCAAGTTTTTAATAATTATATGAACCTTAATTACCTGCTTCTAAATCTATGATTTACTTGATATTTTGCACAAAGGCGTAAGGTTATGCGCATCATAAAAGGTATGAAAGGGTAGAAAATATCAGGTCAATTTCTCAGAAAATTTACAAATTGGGATACATTATTTATTTTAACATTCAAGTAAATATTCATTTCATTCATACAAAATTGAAAAAAAAAAAAACAACCTGTCTTGGGATTTTATTTCAGCTAAGCTTATAGTATATCTTCATCGTCACGAGTTCCTCAGGTCGTGAACAGTATTTCTTTCAAACGAAATATTTGTTTACACTATTTTAAATAATGTTTTTTTTTTCTATACGAACCAGAGTAAGTATATTCTTGCATAGAATTGATAATATATTCAAATAATTAACACGTTGATTTTATGTAATTGCAATTTTACTCTAAATTTCGCTTTTCACCTGTAAACTGCAAAGCTCTTTATGGATTCAATACAATGCTCACTCAAGTAGAGCCACGACATACTTTCTTTTCAGCAGGATACCCATTTAGAATATTGAAATATAAAAAGTGCCGTTTAAAAAATCGATCGTACCTTTATCGAGTCCTGGTTTCATTAAGTCATGAATAAAAAGGCCTTTTGTTGTCTGAACCGAGAGTAAGGATCCAAAATATGCACTGGTTTCATGAATAGAATGAAAATTTCGTCTTGTTGCCTCCAATCCATTTTCTATTGCATGTATCTCTTCAGGAAAAGTATCTTTTACTTCCCGTAATTCATTTTTTATATCATGTATTTCTTCAAGGAAATTACCTCTTGTTATTTCTGAATCGTTTCTTATACCACGTATTTCTTCATGAAAACGACTACTTACTGTCTTTAATTCATTCTTTATTTCACGTATTTCCACAAGAACTTTGTTTTTTGTTCCCTCTAAATCATTTGTAATATCACGTATTTCTTCACGAAAACTGTTTCCTGTTGCTTCCAATTCATTCTTTACATCATGTACTTCCTCATGCAAACCGTTCCTTGCAACCACTAATTCATTTTTTATATCATGAATTTCCTTATGAAAATTACTTCTCATTGTCTCTAAATCATATCTTATATTACGTATTTCCACACGAAAATATTTACTTCTTTCCTCTAATTCAATATGTATTATATATACATAACAGAAAACAGCTCCACAAAGCACAAGAGTTACTACACAACACATGAGCTGACATTCCGTCATTTTGTTATCGAAAACACAGGCAGGTTTTTAAATCTATAAATAAATTTTATCTTGATTTAAAAATCAATTACACAGCTGTTACTCGCAACAAGGTGAAAATTATTGGTTTTCCAGGTTTTCCAGGCATGGGAGACAGTTTTTAAATCTATAAATAAATTTTATCTTGATTTAAAAATCAATAACACAGCTGTTACTCGCAACAGGGTGAAAATTATTGGTTTTCCAGTTTTTTTTCCTTTATGAGTATTACCATTTATTCTGAATGTTTAATTAGTTTGATTTTTTATTGTTTTTTTTTTCTTTTCAGAAAAGAAGTTAATTCACATATCTATATTTGATGTCTCGGGATTTTTTTTTTTATATTTGAAATTCTTCGATGGACAGAAGAATTTTGCATTTTCTATTTTTTTTAAATTCATATCTCGAGAATCCTTTGAGCTTTTGCAATGAAATTTTACATAACAACTTTTTGTGGCCTAAAGAAGACCTCTATTGATTTTGAGGTCAATAGATCAACGTTCAAGGTCATAAATTTATACATTCCGTCTGTGTGTAACACTTTCGTTCCAGGCGATATCTCAAGAAGCTTATTAGCTTTTGCAATGAAATTTTATACCATAACTCCCTAGGGCCTCTCTCACCCCTCTCAAAGTGTCCCGCCCCGTTTTTGTCCCGCGCTTTCACTGAAAGTGGGGGATATTAATTTGGGTCTGTCTGTCCGTCCGTCCTTCCGTCCGTTTTTCTGTCTGTAACACTTTCGTTTCCGCGCGATATCTCAAGAACCCTTTGAGCTTTCGAAATGAAATTTTGCATAGCAACTCCCTTTAGCCTAAAGAAGAACCCTATTTATTTTGAGGTCAAAATGTCAAAGGCCAAGGAAATAAATTCAGAAATTCTATCTGTTTTAACACTTTCGTTTCCGCGCTGTGTTTTACACAACAACTCCCTGTGTTCTAAGGAAGACCCCTATTGATTTTGAGGTCAAGAGATCAAAGTTCAAGGTCGTTAATTTATAAATTCCGTCTATGTGTAACACTTTCGTTTCCGGGCGATATCTCAAGTAGCTTTTGAGCTTTTGCAATGAAATTTTATACCATAACTCCGTATGGCCTCTCTCGCCCCTCTCAAAGTGTCCCGCCCCGTTTTTTTTTTAATTATTGTATTAAAAGTCGTTTGACACTATTTTTAGCACAGGGGCATGTGGAGAGTTATTACGTATAATACAGGTTGTCGGCTTTACATGTATATTCTAATTACATCTATTAGAACTGTTTAGTAAAGGCTAAATTAGACAACATGTATTGTGTAAAATTTTTTAAACATTATATGTGACCTAATGTTTGAATTTAATGTGCTGTACAGTCAAGTGCCTCCGTGGTCTATGAGTATGATGCTGGCTTAGCAAGCGAGAGACCCGGGTTCAAATCGCGGACGGTCCTTTTTTTCTTTATTTTTCTTCTTTTTTATTAACTAAATGATAGTATTCAACATATGAAATGAAAAAGTTATGACGTCTGGTGTGTACAAACTCATAAAATCATTATTACAGTGTGATAAATATTCTATATAAAAAGAATCTTCTATACACATTTAAAAGAATATGCAATCAAATCTTTATATCCATATTGGCATTTTTATATGCTGCAATATACACCTATACATTTAATAATTCTACAAATCTAGAAAGGGGGAAGTCCGGCCCCCACCCCCCAGAACCTCGCATGCTCTTCTTTTTTCCCTAAGCGGGGGACACAAATTCTCTTAATTAGCTTGTTTTTATTATTAATTTTATACCATAACTCCGTATGGCCTCTCTCGCCCCTCTCAAAGTGTCCCGCCCCGTTTTTTTTAATTTATTGTATTAAAAGTCGCTTGGCACTATTTTTAGCACAGGGGCATGTGGAGAGTTATTACGTATAATATATACAGGTTGTCGGCGGACTTTATATTCTAATTACATCTATTAGAACTGTTTAGCAAAGGCTAAATTAGACACCATGTATTGTGTAAAATTTTGACATCGAACGTGAATATAAACATTATATGTGACCTAATGTTTGCATTAAATTTGCTATACAATCAAGTGCCTCCGTGGTCTAGCGGTATGACTCTCGCTTATGATGTGAGAGGTGCTGGGTTCAAATCCCGCACGATGCTTTTTGTCCCCCGCACGATGCTTTTGCAATGAAATTTTACATAGCAACTCCCTGTGGCCTAAGGAAGACCCCTTTTGATTTTGAGGTCAAAAGGTCAAAGTTCAAGGTCGAAAATTCATACATTCCGTCTGTATGTAACACTTTCGTTTCCGGACAATATCCCAAGAAACTTTTGAGCTTTTGCAATGAAATGTTATATCATAACTCCCCTATGGCCTCTCCCGCCCCTCTCAAAGCGTCCCGCCCCGTTTTTTTTTAATTAATATTTTTTGTTGTATTAAAAGTCGCTCTTTTTTTTTTAGCACAGGGGCATGTGGAGAGTTATAACGTATAATACAGGTTGTCGGCGGACATTATATTCTTATTACATCTATTAGAACTGTTTAGTAAAGGTTAAATTAGGCACCATGTGTTGTTTAAAATTTTGACATCGAACGTGAATATAAACATTATATGTGACCTAATGTTTGAATTTAATTTGATGCACAATCAAGTGCCTCCCTGGTCTAGGGGTATGGCTCTCGCTTATCATGTGAGAGGTGCCGGGTTCAAATCCCGGACCATCCTTTTTTTAAATTATTTTTATTTTATTTTTGATTTACTAAATGATAGTATTCAGCAGGCTGAGCATGTGAAATGACAAAGTTATGACGTCTGGCTTGTACAAACTCATAAAATCATCATTACAGTGTGATAAATATTCTATATAAAAAGAATCTTCTATACACATATTATCAAAGAATAAGCAATCAAATCTTTATATCCATATTGTCATATTTTATTTGCTTCAATATACATGTGAACATTTAATAATTCTGCAAATCCAGATGGGGGTTCCGACCCCCCCCCCCCCCGAACTGCGCATGCTCTTCTTTTTTCCCTAAGCGGGGGACACAAATTCTCTGAATTAAAGCTTGTTTGTCATCATTCAGACATTCATAATTAATAATTGTAGATATTTGTTGCATTAGTTTATTAATCAAATAATTTGATGAACATATATATTCCTTTTCCTCATCTCAGTTAATTTTTTTTTTCATTTCCATGAATTTATTTATTTTGACTTATATTTAAAAATTGATCACTGAAAATGAAAGTATAAAAAAAAATCACAGAAAAGTAAGGCAAGTGTAAAGTTTGCAATAAAAAATGTATCATATATGCTTTTTCTGTTTTGATTTTTTTTCTTTGAACTCTTTCTTGTAGAAATACTTTAAAATCCTTAATATATTTTTAGCGGCCGATTTGATGATTTTTATCAATTTAACTTGTATATAATATATCTCTATTCTGCAGCTAGTAGCGTATTGATTTGAGCGAGGATTTAAAAATATACACAGACAATCAACCCTAAATAAAATATAAAATTAAACGGTTTTCGCTTTCCTGACTAAAGAAATTAAAATCTTCAATATCATATCATATTTATTTAACTTCCTTCTACATGTATCTACATGGAGGTACTGTACATTCCACTTGTATTCCTGTTGTGTGAGATACAAGAAACAAGCATTCTGAGAGTATTGCATTAGCAATACTAGTCCCCTACCGGCAAGTGTAATCAGTAAATCTAGTTCCTGTTAAGAATTGAAAATGTCATAATTTCGTCACAAATCAATGAACGAAATGCAAACTTGATCTGTAACTAATCAAGGTAAAGTTACATACCAAAAATCAGCTCAATATCTGAAAGCTTTTAGAAGAAAATTGTGGAAACCCTTAAAAATTGAAAAGGCCATAATTCCGTCAAAAAATCAACGAAGCGGAACGAAATGCAAACTTGGTCTGTAACTCATCAAGATACACTCACATACCAAAAATCAGCTATATATATGCAAGCGTTTAGGGAAAAAGTGCGGAAAACCATGTGGGGCAGACTGATAGACAGACAGAGGGACAGACAAACAGACAGACAGACGGACGGACAGACTCGGAGGAAACCTATAGTCCCCTCCGGTTTCACCGGTAAAAAGTGCGGAAAACCAAGTGGGACAGACTGACAGAGGGACAGACAGACGGACGGATGCTAAAATAAAAATATAACATTTCCAATGGTTTACTGAACGGTCAAAAAGAGTCGTTTGTTTGACCGCAGAGTGCGATATTGGACCTGTCGATGAAATATTCGACCGCTTACGTCACAATGTGGGCTGGATCAGCTAACTCTTATTTGCATTTATTGGTGTTAGACAGTGACAGAATTTACCGAATTTTACCGCAGTGCAGGTAGAGGAAATTTAAATTATGGAAATCAGCACAAAATACTTGTATGGCAAGATAAATAAATAAATACATAAATAAAGTAATTAATAAATAAACGGTATAACAAACCATTTACTGACTGTGTTCTCGGACAAAATGCTTTTTGTTCACCCCTCGAACCAAACTGTTTGGTTTTTAAGTCCAACAGAACGCACGTTGCCCTCAAACATAGTCAATAAATGTATAATATCACCCCTTTCCTAGAAGACAAATGGACTGATCAAGTAGTATAGAAACGCAAAAAAAAAAGGTCGCAGGGACATGACCATATGGGGAATCGAAAGAAATAAACAGTTGCATGCCCCCCCCCCCCAAAAAAAAAAAAAAATTAAAGGAAGTAAACACATCAATATTTTGCATCAGTAATGTGATTGTTTCTTCTGCTAACGCAGGCAACAAATTTTCGATGTAAATAAGCCTGCACAAAATTTAACTGGCTAGCTGTTAATCTTTAGTTTTGCACCATGATTTTTAACCCGCCTGATGCTCGTGGTGTTCGGCAATGAATATGGAACAATCGAATTGACCTTTGAGATTCGGCATTTCATCGTGGTCTTTTCATGACAGGTGTTGCGCAAAATATCAATATTACAACAACAACAACAACAAAAAAAAAAGAGAAAAAAAAAAGGTTTTCAAAATCATAATCTCAGTTGTTGCATACATGATCGGAACTCATCGGCTAGGCAAAAACAGTCCAGTTAATACAGCATTCCCCTGCATCACTAGATAGATAATATATACAAAGAATTTTTTGCTTCTCATAGGTTACGATAACTTTGACCTTTGAGTTGCAACGCTTAGTCTTTATAACGATTAGCTTCACATTGCAATCATATTTCTGAAGTTATACCAACCCTATTACACCACGACCGCACCTTCCCAGAAATCAGTCTATAAAAAATCATAACTTGAAAAGTACTTTTCGTCGTATATTTCATCAAACATGTCATGTTAAATATATACTCTTTTGAGTCAAAAACTTTTTTTTCAAAACTGATCATATTTCTGTAAGACATCGCTCACTTTAATCATTTTAAGCTGACATTTCGTAGCTGGTATGCCTATGACATGCTCCATGTCATGTTTCAGGTAAAATGTTGTTTACGGATATATTACCCTGCTGTTTACGCCATGATACAAAAAACATGTCCAATATATAAGGAAAGGCTCGGCATAAGCAAATCTTGTTTATTTCTGACACAGAAACTATTCAGTCTACATTTAAATTCACAGCTGCATTATTAACATTCATCCTGCCAGCTGAAATAAAAAGCAATGAATGATTTAACTCCATACAGTGAATTTGGATAAAAAAAAGGTGAGAAAATATCCTTAAAATCTGCATTTCATACGTTAAGAAAAATGACCCCCGTTGAATAATAGTCCATTTTATTTTCTATTCAGGAAGCATATTTCTTTCGGTATGATTAAACGGAGAAAACCTTGAATGTTCTCAATCTTAAAGAGGCAAGTATATCAATCATAGTGAAAAATTAGTATACGCTTATCACTTTTATCAAAAGATAGTAATCAGTGATTACAGAGCTCACCTCAACGAATGTTGTCTTTAAATGAGGCAAAGTCCCACAATAAACCAATTATCTACTAGTGTACACATCCCTAGATTAACATTTATGCAATTTTGGTCTGATAGGATTTGCAGTTATTTGGGAATGAACTTACCTCAAGACTTTAAACTAGTCACTCACCCAGAAAATGTAAGTCATCTGACGCAAGTGTGAGAGTGTTCATTCCGTGATGCATCATCCATGCACGTTTGGTTCAGATAGGGCTTATAGTTTCTTGATAATGGACCTGCTCCAAAAACTTTAATCTGGTCACTCATCTGGAAAATGTAGATCAGATCCAGCATCCGAAGCAAGTCCAATATTGTGCATCCGTAGGTGTATTATCTATGCAGCTTTGGTCAATATTGGGCTTATAGTTACTTAAAATTGAGATCTGCTCCAATAACTTTAACCTCATCACTCACCCAGAAAATGTAGGTCAGATCCGGACCGGCATCCGACGCAAGTCAAGTCATGCGAGTTTGGTCAATAAAGGGCTTATAGTATAGTTACTTTGAAATGAGATTAGCTTCAAAAACTTTAATTTGGTTACTCATTTGGAAAATGAATAAAATGAATTTGGAAGGTCAGATCCAGCATCCGAAGCAAGCCTGCTAGTGTGCATCCTTAGATGTATCATCCATGCAAGTGTGGTCAATATAAGGCTTATAGTTACTTGGAAAGGAGACCTGCTCCAAAAACTTTAACCTGGTCACTATTCTAGAAAATGTAGGTCAGATCCAGCATCCGAAGAAAGCTTGGTAATGTACATCCTTAGCTGTATCATCCATGCAAGTTTGGTCAATATAGGGTGTATAGTTACTTGGAAGTGAGACCTGCTCCAATAACTTTAACCTGCTTCAAGAACTTTAACCTTCTCCATAAACATTAAACCGTTCATTTTTTTTTTTAGCTGAAATTGCAGATCTAAAAACTAGGGATGTCAAAATATTTATTTTCTTTAGTCGAATATTCGATTGCATTATTCGAACGATAGTCGAATATATTCGAAACTTTTTCGGAAACTAAAATTTTATTTCAAACTTCACTGGTACATCACATATTTAATCCCAAATCCCCCTTTTTTAAATTGATTAAAAAGTTACTTCAAATGTTACACACAGATGTTCACATGGACTTAAAATGTGGATAGCGTGTCTATATTTACTTAATATAGACTGCTAATTTCTCCAAAATGTAGGATTTCACCGTCAATCATGTTCATAAATTGGTCTGTAAAGTCGGTTTTTAGGAAGCATAAAAAATGACTGTGTGATATATTTTTTTAAAGCTTATTCAAATGATGGGGGCACATACGGTGCCCTTGATAATGTTAAATATTTGAATATACTTTTTGTACCAATTATCAAAATGTCTTTAAAATATGTAAAAGAATATTAATTTTATAATAATTATCGTAGTGTCCAAACATGTCACGGTTATAATAGGTACATGGTATGAGATCAAGTCCAATTAATAGTTTAAAAAAGAAAGCGCAGTATGGCGAGATACTTTTATTACATGTATAAAAACAACACATTAATTGACAATAATTCACGCGGAAGTGAAGCGTTTCTAATCACTGTACTTTCTACATGTTAAGTCAGCAGTTTTTAATGAGGAAAAATTATCTTATCGACTGTGACTGAGGGAAGAGGGTTTCTCAATTTTAGGATAAGAATTCCAACTCTTTATCACTCTTTTATTGAATTTATTTATTCGAATGTCGTTTCGTTATTCGATCGTCGGTCCATTCGACTGATGGTCGAATAGTCGACTATTCGTTGACATCCCTACTAAAAACTCGACTGGTACAATGAAAAATCCTCCATGCATCTCTGATTAAATGGAGCAAAAAAGTACTTGAAAAGAAATCTGCTCCGAAATTTTTAACCTGGAACGCCGACACCAAAGCCGAGTGTATTACACAAGCCCCCCCCCCCCCCCAAAAAAAAAAAAACTTAGTTGAGGTGAGTTAAATATTACTGACTACATAAAGAAGTTGGTGACCACGATGCTAATCTGAGCTTAACTGACGTCTCATGAGGAGATGAAAGAGATAATCTAAAAATATTTAAGTCAATTATCATTTACATGTAAAAAAAAAAAAAAAAAGAATATCTCACCTCACGACTTTAGTCTCTTTACGATTTTTAGTTCGAAGCATCCGGAGTTTGCGATCGTGTTCAGATAGATTTTCTTCTTTTTCTACCCTCTCTGACTTTTTCTTGTTAGTGACGTTGATCTTTTGAACGATATGAATATTATGTTGAATGATATGAACATTATGTTGAATCTTTCAGAATTATAGATAGTGTATGAGAAATTTGATGCATCAATATTTGGAATTTCTTAAACAATACAATTCGGGTTCAATGTCTAATTGATTGTTTTACTGCCATTCTCTATCTTTCATTGCAATTTTGTTTTCCTACACAGTGGCGCAATAAATGGCCTTTGTGAAAAAGCAAAATTTTGTTATCTAATGGAATCAAGCTGGAAAATGGGAGGGAAGATTAAAATATGTTATTGCCATAATTTGTGGTATAACTTCTTTAATTCACATTAAAAAAAAGGATACATGGTCAAATAGGCATGGACACCCTCTAGTCTAAATATGAAATTCTTGTTTACCCATTTTCCTTTGAACTTCTGAAGCATCATTTGTCTCTGTACTCGGTTCATCAGATTCAGCATAGCATTTCTAGCCGGATTCTCCTGATCAATTGTCTCCTCTTCCTCGTGAATCCGCCTAGATTTCTCTTCAGAATACATCCTGCTGGTCCACTTCCTGGAAACCCTACTCAATTAAAACAAAAGGGGTTAGTCCAATTTCTGGTAAGTCTGCTCAGTCAGAAATACAGGTATTAGCTCACTTCTTGGTAAACCTGCATATTAAAAAAACACCCTGTTCTGTTTCTGATAACCCTGCTCAGTAGAAATACTGCTAGTAATTCATTTCCAGCTTTTGTAATCCATAACAGTTCACAGTTTACCTTCTCGTAACCCCGCTCAATAAATACAACAGTTACTGTTCATTTCCTGTTAGTCCTGTTCAACAGAAAATAGACCTTGTAGTGTCTTTTCTGGTAACTCTGTTAAACAATACATTGGAGCTTAGACTTTACTTCCTTAATACCTTGTTCAATGAAAAAAAAACCCATCTTCTAGTTCATTTTCTAGTAGCTCTGATTAATAGAGATACAGCTAGTAATTAACTTGACGTAACCCTGCTCAATAGAAATAAAGCTGTCGGTTCACTTCCGGGTAACTCTGTTCTGTACAACTGTAGGTTGACCTCGTAGTAACCCTGCTTAACAGCTGTTGATTACATCTCTGGTAACTATGCTCAGTGGAAATACAGCTTTTAATTTTAAAACTTTCTTATAGCCCTGCTTAATAGAAATACATCTGCTCGATTCCTAGTAACCCCGCTCCATAGATATACAGTTGTGAATCCTCTTTCTGGGACTCCGCTTAATAGAAATCAGCTAGAAATTCATTTTAATTTTCAAAATGATTTGCAGAACTTATAATCCTCCGGTTACTTACATTCTGACTATGTCCTCCTGGGCGGAAAATTTTACATCCTCCAAGTACTGCTTCAGTGCCTCCTCTTCTTTTTGGTCTTTACTCTATCCATGCATGAAAAGGAACAAGAAAATATCCATTTTTCCTTACCTCTGTATGACTTTATCATTAATTTTTATTTTTGTCAAAAGAACTACAATCAAAATTACAAAAATTACACAGAATTTTTCAAATCTGTTAGCTTCTTAATGTAAACTAAAAAAATTTACGCGAATCAATTGAGTGTATGAAGGATGCATATGTAGGATATTTTCCATATACCAGCAAAATATATAATTAATGCCAAAATAAGGGGCAGGGGGTAATACGTGCAAAATATTTGAATATTTACAATGAATTAATTCCATGCGTTAATCTTCACGTTTACAGAATAAAACCTTAGACACATGTATACATGACATGAAAACAATGAAAACAAGGTTTACATGATTTTACCTCGAGCTCGTGATACATGGCGGTAAGTTTTTTCAGGGCACGTGAGTACTTGTGCTGGATATGTTTGGCAGTTTTATCATTCTCCAAATTCTTCTGCATTTTTATTTTTTCCTGTCTGGCTTGCTCTGCCTGTAATCAAAGAAATTCATTGAACTAGGGTTTATTATTGGCATAAATGTCATATTAGATAAATAAAAGATCAAAATAGAGTAATTTTAGATTCCTCTAAAAAAATCGAAAATATTCATAGGGAGCTGTCAGAAGTCAAGTTTACATATAAATCATCTATCTGCGTATGAAAAATTCATCAGGTGTCCTTTATATGTGAATTAAAACTTGTCTGATGGCTCCATAGAAATTTGCCTGATTATATACAACATTCCAAATAAAACAATACTTCAATCAATTGAATTTATTGATGGGACTTAAAGTTTTAATAGTAATGGGTAATTCAAGATTTCGGAATACACGGTATCTGGATTATACAAGTTCTAATGTATTACCTGTTCTCTGAGCATATCCCTGTGGTTTTCATGTACCACTGTGACTAGGGACTGGTCCAGGAGCTCCCCTACTGCCTTATTGTACTCCATATTTGTCTCCTTTTCATCCTCCTACATTCAGAGAAAAAAAGTACGTTAATCATCACTTGTACCTTATTTATCAGAATACGTAATATTGCTGAATTATTGTAGCATTTAAATTATGAAAAGAAATTGCAGTTGCTTTGGGACGGGACCCACCACCACCACCACCGTGTTCTTTGTCCCAAGAGTTATTTTAAAAAAATTTCCTTGACAATTCACAAAGTATTACAACTGAAAAATCCAAAATATAACCCAAAACTGGCCTTTTATAAAAACTAACACTCTCTGAAATCATAAGTACTTCAATATTTTAAACTAAATGGGACCTCAATCAAAAGTATATCGATCATGAAGTTTTAATTGTTATGAGTAAGTATACATATATATATATATTATCTTTTTAAGTAATTATGGATCACCTGTAACCTCTCTGAGGCCTCCTCAAGATCGGTGTTGATAAGTGACCGTTTGTAATTGGTTTCAGCCATTTTGTCCACCAAGGAATCGATACTGGCCGTTTTCTTTTCGACAAAATAATTCCAAGAAAACAAAATAAGATAATTTCACTTCAGTCTTAGTTTTTTTAATTTGATTTTTTTCTGCACTTACATACCTTTCTGTAATTCTAAAATACTGAAATATCGTCGTGATTTTTCCCATGACATTTTCAGAATGCCATATTATTACTAAAACATATAAAATAGATCTCGGTATTTCCCCAAATGTTAATAAATGTTTATATTCTTTTGAATGTACTTTTTAATTGCTGGAATAAAATTAAATTCGTCGCTTTTCTAATGTAAAGGTTAAAGTTAAAAAAAGGATACGAAATCAAAATACATGTACAAAAACAACTCACCATAGCGTCATCTTTCATGGCCATGAGAAGTTTGATCTGGTACTCGCGTTCCTCCTCGGACATTTGTTGGACCCGCTTGGCGTTCTCCTTGTGGACGAGTTCACCCTGCACCGTGTCTTTAACCATCTCCTGATGGTGAGCCTGGACGCGCTCATCCGCGGCCATTTCTCTCTGGTAATTATATAAATGTGTGCATTTTTGAAGGGCAGATGATATTAACACCATACCAATGAGGTCCAAAATCACATCTCTTTTTAAAATACATGTATGTACACAAAATGATTAAAATTAAATCTGCGTGTAAGATGAGAACTCCTTTCAATTTTATTTTTTTTTTTTTTTATTATTTACAAATAATAAAGAGAAAATATCTAGTTAATGATCAAGGAGTTCACAATAAACTCTATCAGTACGTCGAGAGGTCAAAACTTTAGCAAAGTAAGTCTTTTTTTTTTTTTAAATAAAATCCCATTATGTCACTCAAATTAAAATCCCTTTATATACGTGTATAAAGGCTATGACACTTTACTGTGAATTTTTGAGATTTTTTTGTGGGTAGGGGGGAGGGTTCTCGTAGGGTTCAAGAGGAACATCATTTGTGTAATTTAAGAAGTCTGATGATATTTTTGATATTTATCTCCATAATTATTGAGTGGAAACACCATAAAGATTTTATTTTTCATTTGATTTTTTAGGGAAAAAAGATTTTATGTTGTACATGTACATGCATATCAATCATGTTATTCTGTAATGGTAAAGAAAAAAACTATATTTAAAAAATAAGAAATCTGGCACTCTACAAACTATTTTCCTTGAATCGTCTACGTTTTAAGAACTGTGTCAGTACCCCTTCCCCCTCCAAATATCGGTTTCCTTTACGTGTACAATGTAGTAGTGCTGATTTCAGAAATATCTGTGTGTGTCATGTTTCGAAAGAAATGCCATTTTAGGTTGTATTTGATAAAATTGGGTTCTTTTTTTATTTTCCTTAGTTTGGATATATATAAAGTATCATTCGTCTCACCATGCTGATGGTGATGGTGTCGTTGTACTCGGCCAGCAGGGGTTCGATGATCTCCTTGGCCAGTCTAGCCGTCTCCGCCTCGTAAAACGCTCGTTTTTTCTGCTCTTCATCCATCTCTCTATACAGGAAAAAGTGGCTCACATGAAATTCATGTATTTTTCTTTTTATTTGAAAATTGTGTACAAATTATGTAAAAACTATATAAATATTTTTTCATGTGTATAACATGTAAATTGCATGGTTTGTATGATAATCAATTTAAATAGAACTTTCATGTGAATTTTTCTTTGCGCGATATTTATACCATATGCTCTTCATGTAAAATTGATATGAAAATTGTGTCAAAATCCCATGAAGATTTTACATAAATTTCTTGTATCTTGTTTTTTCGCCTGTTTCTAATGCAAAGAATTCACATGAAATTCATGGGAAATTGATATAAACTTTTGCATGTGTAATATTAAAAAAAGTCATAATGTATATTCATATTGAACGCATTTAAACCCAATATATTATTTTAAATAATAATTTATGTAATATACTTTAAAATCGATTCGTAAATAACTTCAGTCATTATATACATGTATAGTTACTGTTAATATCAAGGTTTTATTATAAATGAATTTTATTTACATTTTCAGATTTCTACAATTATTCAAATTACTAATCAATAACGTGGTTATTGTTTTAAATGACCAGTTTAGACGAGTGTGACATTCTTTTTTAACCCCCCCCCCCCCATTTTACCTGTTTACTTCTCGCTGTAAAGTCAGGATCATTTTATTTATTTAATTCATGAAATATATGATTATATATGATAATAATATACCATACGCCATCATCTTGCTTTATTTGACTTACAAATAATCCCGGAAACATATTTTAATCTTTCTTTCTTTGTTTAATGCACACTTGGAGTTATGCCCCCTTACCTGTTTACAGCGTTGATGGTGAGTCGGCGGGTGGACTTTTCCAGATTGTTACTAAGGACAGAGGTCTCCCAGTGTTTACCCTGGTAACCGTGACCCTTGTGGTCCAGAACAGCATGGCGACAATCCCGCAACTAAGGTCAAGGTACAATAAACGTTTTGAATTAAGTCGAGAAACTTGGCATAACAATAATTTTGATAAGCAGTATTGTTTAACCCCCCCCCCCACACACACCCACATAAATAGAAAGAACGGCTCAGGAATAGTGTATTTTCCATGGTCATATAGCTGAAATATGACCCCCCCCCCATTTTTTGAAAATGCGGAATACTTGATTGGGGGGGGGGGGGGTTATTAAAATACAAACAAACCAAAATAAAAAAAGAAACTTCTGACGTAATTTTTTTTTAGATATTTTAAAAATTATGATAAGCAATCTGAAACAATAAATCAAAATAAATAAATAATTATAAATTAAAAAAATAATTAATATCTAATAGTTATATACATGTAGTTATCTTCTAGAGGAGGACTAATTTACATTTATCTAAATTTCTTACGTATAGTTTAGGTTAATATTTTGTTTGGTTTACATACATACATACATGTGCATATAATTAATTAGTATACATGTACATGCAGTCATGTATACTGTGGGCACAGTGGTTAAACCTTTTTTTTAATAGAAAGTCATATCTTTTTAAAGTTACAGTCTATATTCCCTTCGCTACTACTTCAGTTGATTCAAACTTTTCCAACATGAGCTGTTTCAGAAATTAGATTGTACAGACCTGGTAGTGACAGGGTTGTGCCTTTATTCCTCCATGACGGCGGAGGAGTGCTCTCCCCTGGGCTACCCCAGACTTAAGGTCCTGTTTTAGATAACGGTGGACCACCACTTCCTCCGTGCTGTCCGAACCCGAGCTACTGCTGCTGCTGCTTGATGACGACATACCTAAACAACCAGAGAAAACATTACCATCTTTGTTTTATTGTTGCTTAAGCGGGTTACATGTATATATTTTTTTTCACGGGTTGAGACAGTTAATCCCTGTTCTATCAAAGAAAGAAAGACATTTTATTTATATCTATATAACGGAAGCTCTAAACACTGCTCACTGAAGAGTTCTAATTCCATGGTAATTTTATGCATGATACTTTGATGTAAAATGAAAACCTGCGGCAAATGACACGATTTGAAGTAGAATTAAAGTATTTTAACATTATACTAGTCAAAGATAAATTAATTAAAAAAATATTTCCATGTATTTTTTCTAATGTAATTAAGTAAACAACAGTGATTTTTATTCCCTAGTACTCCATTGTCCTTGAACATTTTTTTCCCTGAAGAAATATTGCAGATACCCTCTGATTTTAATTAGATTGCCTATATTGACAATGAACAAGATAATTAAAACTCAATATATACAATTTTTATAGAATTTGATGAAAATTTTCGAAAAGGGTGGTTCCAGTGAGGCGCACCCAAAATTAAACCACAGAAACACACAAAAGGAGAGAAAAATTCTGTCAAGTGCATACTCTCTTTCACAGGCGCGGATCCAGGAATTTCTTCCAGGGGGGATCCACATTAGTCAGACTCGGAAATTAAACTTATAATTGCCCAAACCTTTTTTTGTGGGAAGGGGGTGGGTTAATGTAGACACTTCTTTGTAAATTTTCTTTCAGATACATAACTCTCCTTTCTATTAAATAAAAGGGGTCAATGTTCCCATTGGGGGGGGGGGGTCCAAGGACATATTTTTCGTTATTTTATATAGAAACTAATAAAAAAAGAATTAAATCCTGGGTAAAGATTGTCGACATTGTAGAGTTATTTTGAACTACTTGTTTTATTCAAAATGTATTAGACTTAAAATATTTATTTCAGAAAATATGTCACCCCCTCTCTCTGCAAAAATAAAAGGGGGGGGGGGAGTCCAACCCCCCGACCCCCCTTCTAGACCCGCCAATGTAGAGCTTCTTTAATTATAAAGTGGCTGAAAGTATGGGAAAAAATGTAAAATTGCTCCATTGATGGCAGGGCCCACTTTCAATGGATGTAAATAATTACATGCATCTGAAGATACTAGTAATTATAAAACCCGAAAATGATTTAGATTTGGCAATACCCTTGAATAAAATGTGAGGATTTAAAAATTATCAGTTGAGTAGTACATGTAATCTCTGCAAAAACAGTAAGATTTTGTGCATGAAGATAAAAAAAAAATGATAATGAAAAAATTTGAATTCCCTAGATTTCTGAAAGTGTACTGGAGATGTACCGGATGTTTTAGATAGAGAGATGGACGTTAACCTAAATAGCCTGGCTTTTATGTAGATATAATTAAGCTTAGATTTATCAAAAAAAAAAAGTCTGGGGCGGGTCTGTCATGTTATTTAAAGAAAAACCAAAGGCGTAAACTTCGGAAAGGGGGGGGGGGCATACATATCATGATTGTATGCCGCGAAATTCCATAAAAGAATTAGATACAATTATTATAATCATCTACTTCTTTTTATATGTAAAACTCTTATTTATTTTCCCAATATTTTTGGATTTTAAACATTCTTTAACCGTCATTCCCTTAGACCAAAACATGTATTGCCGTTAGAAATTTCTATATAAAAGGCAGTTAGAGAAAGAACTAGAGCCCAGCTCGTTGCAGAGCAACGAATAGGTCTTCCGTTGGAGCAGTGACCTTGAGTCAAGGTCATGCCATATTCTAAGATGATTAATAATCTTTTAAGGGACTATCAACTTGCAATGCTTCGCCAGTAGAAAGACAATAAAATAATGTACACTTTCTCTTTCGTGACCTTGAACTTGTCCAGATGACCTTGCATCAAGCCATGACACACTCTGGCTCTGACGCAAACCTATCTGTGTTACCGACTTGACAAGTTAACATCTGTTCTTTCAGACCACACATCCAGTAAAAGCATCTTGTTCTTAGTGACCTTAAACTTGAGTCAAGGCCATGACACAGTCTGTATGATACCAACAATACCCATTCAGAGTGTTTCCAACTTGACAAGTTTACACATGTTTTTTTTTTTCATTTCGTTTCCATATAATTGTAATTTATTACTTTTAACTCGCTGGCTTCAAATTTTATTGTAAATATGTTTTATGTCCAATTTCGATATTGAAAAACGTCGGTGTCCTTGAGTACGTGTACAAGATGCATTACGTTACCCTATCACATCATGTTTTATAACGCAGACCATACATGTTAAAAAAACCATTTTATTCATCAAAAATCTCTGCTTAATTATCTTTGCCGATTTCTTACAGAACTAGAGTGTTCCCAGGAACGCATGGTTTTAGCTTCAATAAAGATGTAACTAAGTCTAAAAGTTATCAGCAATTTATTTGCTACGGCATTGAATATAGTTCATGCCAAAAAAAAAAAAAAATCCAGGGACAGTAAGACTGTGATAGAATCTAACAATCAAATAGAAATGCAAATCCTTAACCCCTGAAAGCCAAAATGGATATTAATGAAATTTGAATAAAGGAGATGGGTGAATATGACGAGCGATAAGCCTATAGTGTGACAAACATGAAGATGAAAAATTAAATTTCAATTATATCAAAATTTTCCTTGATATTTCGTCTAACATTAAAATATACTTTATGTAAAATCTCTATAATTTGCAAAAATCCCTAAAAGATTGAAATTATTTGCCTGGGAAATATTAGACACACACTAAAGCGGGCAAAAAGAGTCATTTTCTCATACTATAATGCTATTTTTCGATATGAGTGGGTCTTCGCTCCACCTTTTTGAAAGTTAATCCTCAAAGTTTGCATAAAAATATATTTTTTTTGGTTACCAAAAATATGGAGCAATGACCCACTATACCTTAAAAATATACTTTTATGACATAACATTCGCATCTTTTCGAGAAATACTTGAAGTCCATTAAGTCAAGGGTCATATCACAAACATGATTTAAATGCCATTCTTCATCAGGACTTGTGTAGTCTAGTGGTTAGCGTGCTAGTCTCGAAAGAAAATAATACTCAGGATTTTTATTGCCAGGGTTCGAACCCCATGAATACCACATATTTATTTTTTTAATAAAAGAATAAATTTTGCCGAGAAATTTTTCCTCAGAAAAGTTTTATTTATCGTAATTTCATAAATTTCAATAATGAGAACTTTACTCTAAATACTAAATTCACAAACTGAACATGATTTTTTATATATCTGAAGCTATAGGCTTTTTGCACGCTATGTTCACCCATCTCCTTTATTATAAATAATTATATATAAATTATTTAAGTATGTGATTTCAACAATCCTTCGAAAGAGGCTTCAGTCTATCATATCAGCAATTGTCAGTCTACACCATCCATTTTGGAATACCGATCCCGTTGTATTTTCATAGTACTTAAATTTCAGTTTTTGTGGTTTCCTTTATTTCATACAGTGTCAAAATACATTGTCATGAGCTCATAAACATGTATAACTGTTAATTATCAAACCCTGCCTCTGTAATTTCAAAAGACATAAGTTAAATTTAACCTTCCGCAGTATATTTTACAAAATAGGTCAAAGGTCAAGGTCAAGTGGACTGTAACGCTAGTATTATGACAAACAGTGCACATTCTAAATGGCATAGACTTACTTCATAAATATCAAAATGAAGTTGTATATCGGCATTATTGGTTATTTTGAAAAGTAGGTCAAAGGTCAAGTTCAAGGATATCTAGATCGGAAGCCATGGAAAAATACAAAAGCCATAGTGTCAAGCTATATGTGCAAATTATCAAATCCATACCTCTTACAATTCTCGAGATATAAGGTGTGACAGACGGACGGACAGCAAGACAGACGCCAGGTAAATTGATCGCTAAGTGCTGCTCTACTCTGCAGGCGACACAAAAATGTTTGTTTGATTGTCTCTTTGTTGTTTAACGTCCCTTGAGCTGCCAGCATTTGCCAGTGGAGGGCTGCAAATTCAGACCTATACTCGACACTCAAGGCCATTGAGCAGTGGGGGATTTTTTTCATGTCGGCACCTACTGCTACACGGGACCTCGGTTTATACGGCCTCATCCGAAGGACCACACTCCACGTTCTGTAGTGAAATTGTTTGTTTGTTTGTGTGTTAACGTTCCCGTCGAGATTTTTCACTCATATACATGTATGGAAACGCCACCACTTGCCGGTGGAGGGCTGCAAATTCAGACCTATACTCGACACTCAAGGCCATTGAGCAGTGAGGGATCTCTTTCGTGCCAGCATCTACTGCTACACGGGATCTCGGTTTATACGGTCTCATGCAAAGGACCGGTCTCCATGTCCCGCACAGGGAGTCGAACCCGCGACGTAAAGATTAACTCCTTACTCCGCGACTCTAGAGCAAACGCTCAAACCACTGCGCCAGGCGGGCGACGTGGTGGTATTCGAAACCACGACTACGAATCGTAGGGGTAGAAATATTTTGATAAAGGTACTATCATTATGAAATCATGTTCTGACTTAAGCCTGTAGAAAGCAATTTCATTTTTTCTGGGACGGGGCACAATCAATCAATTTTTTATATATCTTAGCAAAAAATAAAAAATAAAAAATAAAAAATAAAACCATAATTGCGGGGAGGGGGGGGCACGACCATATAGCTCTAAGCTATATAGTGACTAAGAAGGAATAACTTGTCATTTGTCAAAGTCTTTTACCTAAACTCTTCACTTTTAATTGTCAATAACAGATTCTTGTTACAAAGTGAAAAGTATACATTTATATGTACATATTGTAGTACAGGTATCCATCTCATATGCATAATCTATTTAATCAATCGTTTTATCCTAAAGGGAAAGTGAAATCTCAATCAAAATTTTTCACAAATACTGGACTCTCTGATTGATTATAATATACATGTAAGAACGAATCGTCAGTTAGGACTGCAGGTTTGATAAATTCACAGCATGCATCTTCAGCCTTAATTAAAACGTTGTTTCGAAATATTACACTGTATCTATAAAAGCGTAAAATTAGAATTGACCTAAAGAATATTTTACACCACATGGGAAATGTTTCCGTGGAATCCGGAGTTTACAATTCTGATTGACAGGTGTAGCGCCGTGCATGGATTTCATGTAACTATGTGCAAATAAGAAATAAAGGGATCTAAAGAAAAGAGTTATTGTGATTGACATTGTAATCAAAACAGAGACAATTATGAGTATTTTGGCTGTGCTGGCCTTTCTGACATTTGAAGTAAAATTTTAGAATAACTTATCATTGAAATAAAGTTGTAAAAGTGTATTATCAATTATGTTCATTTTCATCATTAGATGTGTGCTAATAAATTTGTTATATTCAAGTCCATGTATATGTACTCCTTGTACATTTTTTTTCCTTTTGAACCGCGCGTGCAAGTGGAATTAAATTATAAAAAGTTAACATACTTCTTAAATGCATGGATTTTAGGTTACACAGTTCTGGACATTAGAAATAATTAAGCTTATAGTTTTGCCGATATTTTATCGTATGCTAAAAAATATGTATTACATAAAACATGTATTTTAAAAAATTCAGCACAATATAGCCTTTCAGATACTTATACATACAAATCAAATTACATATAAAATGAAATATTTTATTGAATATTATGATCTCTTCTCTGTAAACAGGCATGTTTTGAAGAGGACATTGAAGGCGAAAAGGGGCTCGAATAGACGCCAATTTTTTTTTTCTTCGGAAAGCTGTACAGTTATCTTGGGCGACATATCGCGTACAAGTACAATGTACAAAACAGCAGTGAAAATAAAAATAATGAACTCAAAATTTAATTCTCTTCTCTCAATTATTTTGTGAAATATAATTACCAACAAATATATAAGTTTTTACCAGAGTGTATACAAAGCGACTTTTCAAGCGGTACATGAAAGCGTTTGACGCGTGATCAGGTACGTGTAATTGCTTTCTAAGCATGCAAACTCTGACTACAGTATCAGGTATAGCACTGATTGCTGGCCTGTCAATCAAATCAGCAGCTATTGTTTTATTTTTGTATGATTGTCGGGCGGTATATTATCGATCTTAAGCTATAGGTAGATTTTGTGGGCATTAATGGAAAATTGGGAGTTTAATAAAAGCACATGTACTTGTCATATGCTGGAGTTACAAAACTATAGACGACAGAGTTTTTCACATAGCATGTTCAGAGTTGGTGTAATCATAAAGATAGCCATTTTAAAAAGAAAATAATGTAAAAGTGTTAAGCAATGCGTCTTATTGTTTTCAAAATATATCTCTTTTGAATTCTTGTGTGCAAACCTTGTGTGTCAAGTTAGAATTATCTGCAGAATTAACTACACGCAATGAATCTCCGAAATTAAACATATAATAACACATACATGTAATTGAGAAATAAATCGTTTATTAAATACATGTACATGTATGCAGTTTAAAGATTAGGATTCATGAAATCGGGGACCTTTATACGTCCTTAATAGAATGTTTTGGATTTAAATTAAATCAAATTAAGATAAGAATAAATAATTTAATTGAATGACCCGGTATGATTTAAAAAATAATTTTCCGTAAATCATTGTGTCAGCAAAATGAATATAGAACTACAATGTTTTGTGTATGAGCACTCATAGCTGCTTCCTCGGCTACATAATTAGGTTACATAATTGTAAACAAACACAAAACCCGGGTATATGTGAAACGCAGTTAAATGCAGTTAAAGACTGATTTATATTTTGCTAACTTTTTTTTAAAATTTAATATAGTGTATGTTTCAACATTAAACGACGAAAAGATGTTTAGTTTACGAACGCAGGTCGCTGGTTCACACGCAATGGATCTCTTGTAATTTCGGCCACAATAATTTAATTAGTATATCACCAACATGACCAACATAGATAAGATGAAATAATTTGAAAGATCCGATATGACTAAAAAAACAACTAGAATGAAAATCAGAGACAAAAAATGTTTACCCAGAAAATGAAAGATTTCTTTCTTCACGCAAGCTAGTTAAACATTTCAAAATAAGAATAATAGCTGAAGTTTTCCTATTGCAGAATTATTCTTATGGCTTTATATGATTACCGCACGTCTGGCATGTCCCACCCTAATTTTCTACGCTTAATTCATTCATCATGTTCATTTGACCATTTCTGATTTTAAAAAAAATGTCGCATGCAGATAAATTGTGAATCGGAAATCAATTTCTTTAGAACCAAATCAATATTTGTTGCGAGAAGTAAATAATTCGATAGCTTTTGAAGATTTCAACATACATTTTTGTAACACGCATATTTGTAATAACCACTTTATATACGAAACAAAATTTCATTCTCTTATATGGTAATATGGATGTCGTAATAGATCTGACTAAATGCTTGACATGCCTGTTTCAAAAACGTTTCCTAAGTTATCTTAAGATATGCCTAAGTTATAACTTTAGAAGTTCCTAAGATTTATCACAGCTTTATCACGAAACAATCTTATCTAAAAAAAATTATAAGTCATTTCTTAAGTTGTGCCTTTAAGGACTAATAAAATAACATTCCCGCTCTATATACAACTCTCAGTATGGTATATATTTTTAGATTCAAAAAGGAAGGGTGCGAGGATTGGGGATTTCCCCCACTTTTAAAGGATTTGGACACAAGTATGCTTAACTTTGCGAAGTGTGTTGCTAGATCTAAGCATTCACAGACACACCCTTTTAAGCCATCTTCCCTTCCGAGCACACGCTATTTGTATTTTAATTTTTAAACATTGTTCTAGGTGTTATATATTTACTTTATTTTGTTCTTATAAGGTATCTACATGTAAATAAAATTTTAAAATGAATGCTTCGTAGCGAACACATGCGAGTTTATATTTTTCAAACAATCTTTGCCAATTACTACACTGCATGTACACGTTAGTTGTTTGTGCTGTGTAGAGCAACTATCAGAGTACACAATGTATTTCAACATCGAGGTGCCCGCGGCTCTCTGTGGCCACGTGTATGTAAACGAGGACTGGACTACAACACCTAAGACACAAAGCGGCAGAGATGGATGAAACTGTTTGCTATATTACAAATACATGACTTGTATATTTGAAGGAATTTTTATTTATGTTAATGTTTATTTAATTCTATAAATAATAAATGGACATTCACAAGAGTGATGGTAAAAATAATATGTGCGTAGCATGCGTAGTAATTACAATTATTTACCGAAGCCCCCATTCAATTACAATTGCAGATGAATTAAAATACAACAACACGGGATAGAGCAATACTTTTTTAAATGTATTGATGCGTGAACAGACAAAAACAGCGATTAAAATTTAAAATGATTTTTATGCACCAGTGTTTGGAATTAAGATTATAAAAGATCGGTAAAGTAATCTTACTGATTCGATATAATTAAAAACATAACTTTCCATTAATTAATAGCTCTTTGTACAAAATTGACATTATATGCGATCACAAATACTAGCTTTGTTTATGGCCACAGGTGGCTAGTACACTGGTGACCTCGATCAACAGCGTGGGATTCGCGCGTTGGGTTACATAACTAAATATCGAGCTGAACATGGAGACCGTAATATGCATACAGCTAATGATCGTGAATTATTCAATGCATACAGTTTAAAATCACTTACAAAGTTTGTTGTAATAATAAACGTAGAAAGATAGATTTAATATTCTCCGCTTTTGAACACTATTAATCTAATTTAAGAAGAAAAAGAAGAAAAGAAAGACAAATTGTAATAAATAATTTAATAGTGAACCATAAACCACGTTTTAAACCTTATTAAAAAGAAAATTAACATTAAATACCGCAGGGTATATTATTGATAGCAAGTCTGTTTAAGTTATACACATGAAGAGGTCTGATTTCCTTGCCGAATGAAAAACGTTACCTGTTTACCTGGCCTGCTTTCTAATACGTATTACGCAATACCCATGGTATACTCGAACAAAACAACATTTTCATTAGATCAAAAAGGTGTAAAAGAACAATTTTGTTCCCAAGATCCAGATCGAAATATTTACCGTTTTTGAGTTATAAAGCAAAAACTTTTAAGGGCCCAGGATCCCGAATTATAGGGGCCAGCCCCTTTTAAATGGTATAATATGAAAGCCCTTGCAATTATGCACAACTTTTATTCTACATGTTTTAACAAATTATTTTTAGTTTTAAAGATATAAAGGAAAATATGTCAAAATTTTTGCTCTTTTTCGCGTTCTAAATTTTGACCCCTCTCTAGCGCCATTTTTAATGCAAAAATCAAGAAAGAAAAACCGATGTGCACAACTTCAATGCTTCTTCTTTTCAATTTCAAATGGTATTGTGCTCCAATTATTACAGTTTCCGAGCCTTTGTCTGGAAACCAGAGGCATAAAAATTTCAATCAAAGGGGAATAACTCGTGAACAGAAGGTAATTTCCGAATTGTATTACAGTATTCTGAGAGTGTTTTGTAAAGTCTAAAAGCTCTGAAAATTTGAACAAAATCTGTTCAGAAATGAGGAAGATATGAAGCTTCGAAGTTGGCGTCTAGGAAAAAAAAAAAAAAGAATAATCTTAATCAGTACAATCAGTAGAAGGTCTTCCGTTGGAAACGGAAGACCTTAAAAACCTACCTGTGATCGGATTTCTGTTTACAAAATTTCCCGCAGTCAAGCAGATTGTGACGTCACAGTAAACTCTCTTTTCGTTGCGATGGTAAAAAATCTAGAATTTTTCCCACATACTAATTCCTGACGGAAAAACTATTAAAAATGATGGACACCAATATTATTTGACTAAATGATGATTCAAATAAAATTCCTTTTCTATCTTAATTTATTTTATTTACATTTTGTATTGAGAGTGTCACAGCATGGTCAAGTAGGCGCTTAACAGCATGTATATTTACGTAGAAATTTAAGAAAGAAATTGACATTGATACCATTAGTGGATAATTTTTTCTGACGACATGGCACAGCAGCAACCTACACAAGCTCGTCCTTGGAACCCTGATTTTAAGTACACAGACAGAGAAAGGTATGATTATCGCCAGAAATAAATCACTGTCCATTTTACAGACGGCTAAGCTTGTCTGATTAGGGATAATCCTTTGTGACGGTCTCTCAGTACACCAGATGGAAACTTTGCAAAAACACTGAACAGCTGTCACGTTTCCACATGTAAACATGTTTGGTAGGTTAAATGCCTACATAGAGTTTTAAATTGGTTATGTTGTTATTAAGCCATTCTTACCTAGCTGACGTTGTGTACGTTTATCTCTTTGGAGGAAAAAAAAAATTGATTGTCATGCAGCAGCTACTGATCTGTAGTTAGAATAATCTAACTGTGTCCCGGGACAAGCCATCACCACAGTTAGAATACGTCCCGTATACTTGCAATGTAGCAAATCGGAGTGGATCCACTCCGAAATGATTTTGAAGAATACAAAATGAGTTGCACTGAAAAATAACTACCAAATTAATCATAACAAACCTTTTTGAGATGGTATATGTCTTTTAACCTAAAAAAAAATCCATATAAATTCAAAAATTCAACTTATTTTCTCAACGTTTTTTCCTCACTTTAAATTTAACGCCATGTTGATATTCGGAACTCTCTGGATTGTTCATAGAAAATGCACAGAGTACGAGTTATCGCCTGTGTTTATTTTGCAACATTGCCAATACATGGAACGAATTCTATCGTTAAACCGGGTCCGTAGGACAATATCATTTTAACGATAGAACGTTCTATCTAACTGATCTGTAGCTCGCTGGTCTGAAAAAAACTGTGCATTATTGCGCACAAAAAGTGTGCTGTTTTTTTTTTTAAATTGATTTCTTTGTATGTTTAAATAGCCATCTCAATATATTACTAACCGTGTGTTCCTAGCTTATTCTTTTACTACCTTCACATCAAAACATTACCCAAAACCATTGTTAATAGCCCTCCTGGGCATGAAATGGAGATCAGTGAAAATTTAAAAAATTTAAACTTTCATTTTGGGTGGCAAGACAATTCAATCCAATGCAGTTCGTACATTACTTGCTAAGAACAGTTTTGTTGTGGAAGTAGTAACAGAATATGTTCATTGTTAGCAAATACACTTGAACTATATGAGGGGCATTTAAAAAGTTCTGGCAACTGGTGTGCAGTAAATTAATGAGCATCATTATCATAAATTAAATTATATCAATCACTCAAAATAGTCTCTGTTGACCTGGACACACTTTTTCAGTCTTGAAATCCACGTGGAAAATGCTGCCCTATAGTCCTCTTTCGGTGTACGCTTCATACACTGGAATACGGCACTTCCGACTGCATGACGACTTTCAAATCGCCGTCCTCGGAGGGCTTCTTTGATGACGGCATTCAACCAAAAATCGCATGGAGCTAGGTCAGGACTGTAGGGTGGATGTGGTAAAACGGCAATACCATTTTCCTTTAAATATTTGGTTAATACCTCTGATCTATGGGCAGGTGTGTTGTCATGGAGGAGCTTTATTCCTCTAGTACTGGTTGTTGGTCGGGTCATTTTATAGTGCTCTACAACCTGAGACAAGACATTCCTTGCATAAAATTGACCAGTAACACTGCTGTGTTCTAGAACCGGAACTTGAGCAACAGGCCTTTAGAATCAAAAAATAAGGCGTACAGTACTCTCCGGACAGACCGGTTTCTGCGTGCAATTTGAGGCCTTGTATCATTTTCACTGATCCAAACTTTATTATTGAGCTTAGTTTCCGGTTCAAAAAAATATATCCATGTTTCATCACCAGTTACAATCTCATTTATTTGCCTTTTGTCACAATCTTCATAAATTGTTAGTAACTGTGAAGCCATTTCTACCCGTATGCGCTTTTGCTCTTCTGAGAGAAGATGCGGCACCCATCTAGCACAGACTTTCCTAAGCTTTAAGTTTTCTTTTAAAATACAAGAAACTGCTGACGAATTAATGTTAGTTAAGTCTGCTATTTCCTCAACTGTATATCTAGCATCATCAGCTATTGTATTTTGAACAGTGACGATTTCTTTTTCACCATATGCACAAACTGGACGCCCCGAACGGGGGTCATCTTCAATTGATTTTCTACCCTCTCTAAATTGAACAACCCATCTTGCTATTGCTCGATATGAAACAGCATGCTCTCTCTATACTACATCTAAATCAGCTTTTATATCTGTTGCCGTAAAGCCAAGCAATGAGCGAATTTTGCGATACGCTCTTTGCTCAACAAAAAAATTGTTCTCCTTATCAGTCATTTTTACGCCCAGTATACAGAGTATACCTAATTATGACGTCATTTTAGCAGACCTATACGTCATTTGAATGTAAAATGACGCCACTACTAACGCATATTTGCCTAAGCTTTACAGTGGTATCAGAGTCATTTTAATCCGTAACATAGTTAAAATTTTATATACCAGTTGCCAGAACTTTTGAAATGCCCCTCGTACAGTAAAATTCGGTTATAACGAAGTCAGAGTGACCTGTGAAATTAATTGATTATATCCATATAAGGAATTCATAAAATTTATATAGCTGGGGATCCAAGAAAACTTCACTATATCCGTGTTCGTACTAAACAAGTTTTACTGTACAACATGTACAAGGAAATGAATTGAGAAACAGCTCATTTTTGGGGGCATTAAATATGCATTTTTTTTTCAATGAGTGACACTGAAGCTCTCTGGTCATTATTAGCCTGATATTTTCAGACCAGTGAGCTAATTAAGTTCTGCAGCTAGCTAGGTTTGACAAATGTTATTTGGGGGATTTTTTCATATTTCGGTAATCTTCTAGACTTAGAGAAGCAAAAATAATAATATATCGATAAATATTAATAAAATAGCTAAAATATAATTCTGTTTATGGTACAAAGCTCTCTTCTCTCTCTCTCTTTTTTTTTTTACCTAATACCAATGATTTTCATTTATTCTTTTAATGTCAATATGTAGATAAACTGTCCTACAGACCCAGCTAGTTTATCAATAGATTGCAGTCTGCGTATTTGAAATGTAGGAAACTAAACCTGCCAAGGGTTGACTAGAGAGCTTATTTCAAACAAACATATAAACTTCGAACAATTTAGAGAGTTAAGAATGTCAACATGCTGGATCAATTTGTCAGGAGCAAAAAAAACCCATATAACAACTCACTTGAGAAAATGTGTTTAATTCTTCCATTGTATAGATTATTTTGTTTGGAAGGTATCCTCACTCTCAAAAAGGCTTAGAATGTTTCTGGGATGAGTGCAGTTTTTTTATTTAGTGAGTCGCTTTTACTCTAGATCCAAGCACCCCCTCAAAGTGTACAAGATATTGGAAGATCAACACTGTGTCGTCATGTGTATGTTACACATGTAGTTGCATTTCCATAAGGAAGTCTTTTATAAAAGTGTAAAATTTTAAGAAGGAATGATTAATCTACTATACGACACAATATCCATTTAAAAAATTTTAAATCAAGGAGAGTTTGGTTTTTGGTGAAGTTTTGTTGTTACTGTGAGAATGGTGCTTTTGCGGTTAGATGCAATTTACAAAGAATTGACTTTGTGGGTTCAAAAATTACTGTGTAAAAAATCATTTGGATCAATGTACATAGTTCAGATTTTCTCTTTGCCCAGATGTTGTCATGAAAGCTTTCTGTGCTAGTTATTATGATTAATTTTGTGGTTATTTTCAATGTAACTTCATTTGTTTTCTCCAAAGTTTTTTCGGAGCGATTCTGAAATTTTTCTGCTTCACTTGCGAGTAGGCCTATATGGGAGGTATTCTAACTGTGGTGAGGGACCGTCCCAAGATGCACTTTTTACTCACTGTCAGATTATTTTAACGATGTAAAATAGTGTCCCATTACTGTGCTTTTTCAAGGTTTTGACATTTTAAAAGAGCAAGTGTGTATAGTATATATGCATTGGATGCATTAATTCTGTTCTTGTAACTGGTTGTGACAGTGTCAGTCCATTAAATGACCTTTAATACATATTTTATGCAGACACATTATGGCACTAAAGGCATGATTGACAACATGTGTAAATTTCAACAAGATAGAAAACATTATGTGTCAAATCTGTCAATGGTTGGAATATGAGAGCTAATTATCACAGGTATAGAATCTGGCCTTATCCTTTTTTTCTGCTGAAAATCAAATCTAGACTGCAATTCCCTGTCAATTGCCCAAATTACATTCTTGTGATAACCAGGAAAAAAGGTTTACAAATTATAGTCGAACTTTGATTCGAGATAATGAGGTAAAATATATTATAAAAGAGAGAGTATATAGATGGACTTCCAAATGACTTCAACATATCCATGGTATTCAAGTCGAAGATACCACTGTTTATGATAATGAAGTTCATGGCAACTGAAATAGAGTAACATAATATTCCTTGATAATATTAAAAAAAAGATCTGTTTGTTAAAAAAGAAAATGATATCTTGAATTTTTAGCAAGTATCATTTTTAAAAAAAATTGTATAAATGTTACTGAGGCTGTCTTTGAAATATTAATGTTTGCCCTCTCCCAACTCAGAAAAAAATGGTCTGTAGGTAGGTGGGAACTTTATCTTAAAAAATTTCAACATCAATGCTGAATTTTCAAAATCTATTAAAATTGAAGGTATTAATAAATACAGTAATTACAATAGTTGTTGACAGGATGTGAAGATTCTGGGATGAATAAAAGAAAATAATTATAGTTTCCTGGAGGATTTAAAAAAAATTTGAGTTGGACTATTTTTAGTCAGTCGATAGGGAGAGGGCAAGCAAACAATTTTTAGCTCACCTGAGCTGAAGGCTCAAGTGAGCTTTTCTGATCACCCGTTGTCCGTCGTCTGTCCGTCCGTCTGTCCGTCCGTCCGTCTGTAAACTTTTCACATTTTCAACTTCTTCTCAAGAACCACTGGGCCAATTTTAACCAAATTTGGTACAAAGCATCCTTGAGTGAAGGGGAGTTTAAATTGTTAAAATAAAGGGCCAAACCCCCTTACAAGGGGAGATAATCAAGAAAAGACAAAAATAGGGTGGGGTCATTAAAAAATCTTCTTCTCAAGAACCACTGGGCCAGAAAAGCTGAAACTTAGGTGGAAACATTCTGGGGTAGTGTAGATTCTAAATTGTAAAAATCATGACCCCCGGGGAAAGGGCGGGGCCACAATAGGGAATCCAAATTTTACATTGAAATACATAGAAAAAAATCTTTAAAAATCTTCTTCTCAAGAACCACTGGGCCAGAAAAACTGAAACTTATGTGGAAGCATCCTGGGGTAGTGTAGATTCTAAATTGTAAAAATCATGACCCCCGGGGGAAGGGCGGGGCCACAATAGGGAATCCAAGTTTTACATTGAAATATATAGAAAAAAATCTTTAAAAATCTTCTTCTCAAGAACCACTGGGCCAGAAAAACTGAAACTTATGTGGAAGCATCCTGGGGTAGTGTAGATTCTAAATTGTAAAAATCATGACCCCCGGGGGAAGGGCGGGGCCACAATAGGGAATCAAAGTTTTACATTGAAATATATAGAAAAAAATCTTTAAAAATCTTCTTCTCAAGAACCATTGGGCCAGAAAAGCTGAAACTTATGTTGAAGCATCCTTTGGTAGTGTAGATTCTAAATTGTTAAAGTCATGACCCCCTGGGAAAGGGCGGGGCCACAATAGGGAATCCAAGTTTTACATTGAAATACGTAGAAAAAATCTTTAAAAATCTTCTTCTCAAGAACCACTTAGCCAGACAAACTGAAACTTATGTGGAAGCATCCTGGGGTAGTGTAAATTCTAAATTGTAAAAATCATGACCCCCGGGGAAAGGGCGGGGCCACAATAGGGAATCCAAGTTTTACATTGAAATACGTAGAAAAAATCTTTAAAAATCTTCTTCTCAAGAACCACTGGGCCAGAAAAGCTGAAACTTATGTTGAAGCATCCTGGGGTAGTGTAGATTTTAAATTGTTAAAATCATGACCCCCGGGGAAAGGGCGGGGCCACAATAGGAAATCCAATTTTTATATTGAAATATATAGAAAAAAAAATCTTCTTCTCAAGAACCACTTGGTCAGAAAAGCTAAGACTTTTGTAGAAGCATCCTGGGGCAGCGTAAATTCTAAAGAATTCAAATCTTGACCCCTGGGTGTAGGGCGGGGCCACAATAGGGAATCCAAGTTTTACATTGAAATATATAGGAAAAATCTTTAAAAATTTTCTCATCAAGAACCTCTTGGCCAGTAAAGCTGAAACTTATATGGAAACATCCTAGGGTACTGTAGATTTTAAATCGTTAAAATCATGATCTCCGTGGGTAGGGCGGGGCCACAATAGGTATTACAAAAAGATCATCTGGTGAAGAACAGCAGGGCCAAAGTTATTCAGGTGAGCGTTGTGGCCCATGGGCCTCTTGTTTAAAGATGGCCTGCTTTCAGCGGCAATTTTTCTATAGTTGTGACAAATAAGTATTACAACACCGTAACACAAATAAAAATTAATAAAAGATTATACAGCATTACTACTGTATTGTAATAATGAAAAGATCATCAACACATCGTGAGTCTCAGAATGGACAACTTCAAGTTAATTTATTTTGTTTTTAACAAAGATAAGTAGTTGAACTTCATATTCAGACCAAACTGGAATACCACTCATGACAATTTTCTTTAATTTTAGCCATATTAAACATGTTAAAGGTTCTTATTTCAATTCTAACTTTGGTAGAGTTATAAGAGATTAGTTAAAATTTTGCATCATTTCTTATGATGTTATATAAATAAGCTTTTTAATTAATATATTTATCAATAATATTCTAAATACTACCTAATATCTTTCAGATGGCTGTGCATCTATCCAGCTTATATAAACAGCCGAAAAACAGTGACAGAGGGAAGAAGGCTTCCAAAAGACAAAGTATGTATTTAATAAAGCAGGGGTCTTGATTAACCCCTGAATGACCCCTTTATATTCTCCCTTAAAAAGTAAATCAAAGACTGTGGAAAGAAAGGACTATCTTGTGTTTATTCAGTCAACATTGGACAAGACACAGACAAGTCTATTCAACAAATTGATTTATATGCACTTCTCTATAAATTATACAATTCAATTAAACTAGTGAACTGTGATTCTGAGTGCATGTAATAATATATATTTGTTTAAATGTTTTAATTTGTCAATTTTTTTTTTCAGTGTGTTGACAATCCAACGTACAATGAAATTAAAGATGTACTTTTAGCAACAGGCTTCAATATAGGAATTGAGGTATGAAATATTTACTAATAGAAGGCCAGTCTCTCATTACTTGTTTTTTGAAGAATTTTTTTTCCAAAACTGAAATCAGAAGGTTGGAAAAAAAAATAAAAACAAACATTTACATCAGAATTCATAATCACCACCTCCCCTTTTCCAAAAAAATTAAATTTATTTCAAATAAGTATGATGAATAATTGATTAGATTCGTCAACCTGCATGACTCTACAAAATTTTTTATATACCAAATTATGTCTGCTGTATAATCATGGATGACCAAAGAAGCATATTACATAATTTGATATCAACTTCAAAGTCGTCAAGTGTAATAGAGCATAACTTTTAAAACCTATCAGTCTTCTCCTCTTGCAAGATAAACAGGTTGCATTGTGTATAGGAATAGTAATTAGGGTTTCTTTATATAGAACTTAACTTTTCACTGTGTTAAAAAATCAGAAACCATTTTGTTGTCTTGGTAGCCAAGTTTGGCATTAACACATTTACAGTAGATCGGATATATCAAAAGCATATAATTAGAGTTGTCAAATCAATTAGTTTTCATAAGAAATAGAGGAGAAATTTGTTTTATCTACAGTCAAATCTTGTTTTCTCGAACTCAATGGGAGTGAGGAAAAACTTTGAGATACATGTATTGAAGGATTCGAGATATCGAGGGTAAAATACTTAAAGAATAATTGGTTGGGACTTCCCAATGACTTTAAAGTATTGATAGTATTTGAAATATCGGTGTTCGAGATACAAAGTTCAACTGAACATGTATCTTTAATTTTTTCAGAATAAAGTATATCCCCGAGAGCTTGATCACCGAGACCCAAAAGTTCGAGGTCGTATCAGAATCCAATTCAGAGATGAAAATGGTGGATTTCTAAATCCAGAGTTCAAAACAAGTAAGACTAAAATGACGATTTAATCTCCAACAGAGCAGTAATATTTAGGCAGGATTCTGCCTTACAGAGATTCTTAGTTTGGTTGAGCCAAGGGGTAAATTGTAAAAGTATCTTATTTTTTTGGAAAAGTATATAGAATCTGACTATATATATGTATGTGTATGTGTAGTTGTACCTGTTATAATGTCAAATTGCCATAGTCACCCATGAGGCGCAGTGGTTAGGGCGTTTGCTCTGAGTCACAGAGTAAGGAGTTGATCCTTAGTTACATCGCAGGTTGAAATCCACCTATGAGACAGTATAAACTGAGATCCCTCACTGCTCAAAGGCTGTGTGTGCCTAGTACAGGTCTTAATTTGCAGTCCTCTCCTTGCAAGTGATGGTATTTCAATGTACAATATAAGTGAAAAAAATTTCAAAGGGACATTAAACAAACAAACAAAAACACTTTCTTCTCTAGAACCACTGGATTTTTTTTATCATTCAAAATTAGCAAATCTTCTTCTGGTACATAAATCAACATTGTTTAAACAACTGTCCAGGGTCTTTGATATATATATTGACAAAATTATGAAAATTGCAAAGTTTCATTTTAAGATCACATAATTGGACAAAAAAAAAAAAAAAAAAATAAGAAAGTTTTCTTATATAGTAAAAATTCTGGGTTGTACATTATGATCACAGTTGCATGAAGAGAGAAAAAAACTAATATCAATCATTAAAACATTTTTACTGTCAGGTGTTACTGACAAACAAGGAGATGAAGTAAGCGGAACCTTTTAATTGTAGGAAACAATCGTTTCACCAACTAAACTTGGTGAAATTTATGCAACTTTCCTCAGCAAACAGTCTATGTCACTGATTGATTGTTTCGCGTGACATAAATATATGCACGTCACCACTTTTCAAAAGTCTATGGTCTTGACAGACTTGTAATATGAAGAGAAAAAAATTTTTACAGTTTGTCAAACAAATACTGAAGATTTCCTATTTTTCGCGAGTACTTAATACATGTATAGCAAAATAGCTCTTGACTTCAAATCACAAAAACAATAATTCTGGAGTGGTCTGTTGATGAAGAGGTTTTAAGTGGATTTCAACACCAAAAATTAAAAGCAAATAAATTTATTTTGCGAGTGGTGCTTCTCACAAAAATACCCGATAACTAATCCCGTAGGAATCTACAGTATGAAGATACCCTTATTTCCTCTCAGCATGAAAAGCTGCACAGTCATTGGTTTAAACATGACACCTACATGACTGCTGGGTATATTTCTGCTTCTGCTGTGATAATTTATATCTGACAATAGGGCAGACACCTAACAACCTAATATTACTTTGATGTTATTATTTAATTAAGTATATTTTAGTTTACAGTACCGACCGGACACAACCTAACACCAGAGCGAACCCAAAGCGCACCCCGGGTTCGCTTTCTGGGTTCTCTCGGGGTCCGCTACGGGTCCGCTTTCAGAAATTTTGGGTACGCTCTGGGTTCGCTTCGGGTTCGCTCTGCGTTCGCTCGGGGTCAGCTCTGGGTCCGCTAGAGCGAACCCGGCGTTCGCTTTCAGGGTTCGCTTTACGCACTCATGCGCGAAGCGGACCCCGCTTTAATCTTGCCGCCAGTAAGCTCCGCCCCTTGTTTATTCCAAATACAGCAGTGAAATCGATCATTGTTGTTTTTGTGGCGATCGATACATGTGCATGTACAGTGGCTGCAATGTTATTGTTGACAACATACACGAACGATCACGTTTTACACAAAATAGTTAAAAATATTAAGGAGTGGATATTAAAAAAAAAACAAAAAAAAAACAAAAAAAAAAACAAACTTATTAATAGATATTTTAGATTAAAAATATTTACTGCTGCAATTAATCGACTTTGGAAAACTGGAAAAAAAATTATATAAAAAAAATATTTTTGAAACTACATGTAAATAAGATTTAATAGGTATTTTAGATTACAAATAATTATTAATGTAATTCTCCGACTCATGTTCTATCATATGATATAGGTTGACTGTGAGTTTTGATTCTATTGGATTTTATAATATGCAGTATGGGGGTAAAAAAATTTTAAAAAGTGGCCTAAATAATGAATGAATACTTATATTCATCTTTCCATTTATGAATTCAAAAATCAGCATTTTTTTTTTAAATTCATTCATCTGCAGAAATTAAAATAATAATAAGTATCAGGGATAAAAAGTAACCCCGACAATCATGTCGTGTACATTTGTCGACTATTTATTTATGTAAGTATTTGGAATTAATATTTTTTTTGTAAAAATGTACATTTCTGATGTATTGATATAAAAATATCATGACCACAATAAGCAGTTAACGTGACCCATCATCAGAGAAAAAAAATTCGTTAAACATCTTAACTATACGCTTAATCATTTAAAGTTACGCTATTTAAAAGAATACAATACTGTACGACTTATTATATTGCTTATTTACTACCGATAATTAGTTCGTTCAATAATGTACATGTAAATCGCGCGTTGTTTTTTTTCTTCTTTTTATTTCAGTTAATAATAATAATAATAATAATAATAATAATAAAAACAAGGTAAATCAAGCTTTACATTATTTTTTGTAAAAGATAAATCAAAATAATATCATAGCAGTTTACGATTGGACATACTGTACATGTACATTTATGCTGTTCTTTATTCATTTTTTTTTTTATGTATTTATTTATTTATTTATTTATTTTTTTTTTTTTACTTTTTTTCAATTAAGAAGATTAATAATTTTGATGTTGATCTGGATTTAAACAAAAATGTAAATTAGAATTATAAAAATAAAATAATTGAATGAAAACACGTACATATACATACTCTTGTACAGTATCTTGAGATAATGAAATGTTATAATTTGTCAAAATACTTTTTTTTTTTCTTTTTTAGTAACAATTGTGATAACCATTATTTTCTTTTATACATTTAAGAACTTTCTGTCTGATAAATTTACGCAATATAAATAGATGGATTTTAAAAATAAAAAATAAAGAAAATAAATGTGTAAATATAACATGCTACCTAGATATTAATTTATAAATATAAATATTTTTTTAATCATGTTAATAATAATTTCACACTGTACATAAACACGCTTTGCTTGTAGAATGTTTTATTTACATCGAATGACAAACTGGCATGCTGATCGGTCGACGCGCTGATTGGTTAACACGTCTTATCGCTAATCCTGATTGACAGATCAGTTACGCAACACCGAACGCGCGTTCGCTTGCTGGGTTCGCTACTGAATTTGGGGTTCGCTTTCGGCGTTCGCTCTGGGTCCGCTGCGGGTTCGCTCGGGATGCGCTCCGGGTTCGCACGGGGTCCGCTATAGCGAACCCCAAGCGAACCCAGGCAGCGAACCCGGGATGCGCTTTGGGTTCGCTTTCTGTTAGGTTGTGTCTGGTCGGTACTGTATGTTCTCTCTATGGTCCTCTTGAAAAATATATCATGAATAACTATGTTAGTGACTGTCTACGGATTATATTAGGTTGATCAATCTCATAGTCAATTCCTGTTTGCTGCTGGCTATGACATTGATCAACACAATACACTTCCATACACGTTAAATAAGAAACTTCATCAAGGACATTGTTTCTGTTTGTTTTGAACATATTTCATTGACAAATCTTAGGTAGTTCTCTCCCTTAGAGCTTTGTAAAAGCTAAGATAGCAGCAAACTCTGAAGGATATTAAAATGTCTTCTCAATAACAAACTAAAAATTGCTTTGAGCGATAGTTGTAGAGTAACTTCTCAATAATTAAATGATTTTGTTGAGTTGATATTGTGGTCTAAGAAACTGCAGAAGGGCTGAAGTTTTACGTAATAAAAAAAAAATAATTGAGATTTTTCACTGATTTATTAAAAAAGCTGGCCTTATTTTTTCCAGGAAGAGCGATAATGGAGGTTATATGTGAGAAAATTCCAAAATTGAAAACAAGGATCCAAGCTGCCTCATCACAACCTGCCCCAGCACAACAGCAAACTACCACCAAAACAAAGAAAGGTCGCAAAGGGAAGTAAGCAGGGATGTATATAAATAGACATGGTGCAAAGGGATGTAATCAGGGATATACAGACAGGGAGAGTCTGAATAAATGTGTGTGAGAGAATAGGGAAGAGGACAAATATTAATATGGTACACTGTATGTGTATAGATGGAAAACCTGAGTTGGTCTGTGTCTGTTGAATGTGTTGGAATATTCAAATTTTCATTTTTGTGTTAAGAATAAAGACTGATTCTGTATTAATATGGCATCTGTAAAAACTTCTTGTGTCAATATAATATTTATTATAGATTGTGTGTTTTTACATCCTTAAAGTTAGAATTGTCATAACATTATAATTACCATATTGTACTCTTTTTAATTTGAGTATTTATGTACAAAAATCTGCTACACAGTTGTGTGGAAAAATTGTATTTCAGAGACTTCTCAATGGTTTCAACTTGAACTTTACATGATACATTGTATACAGATTGCTATGCACTGATTGGTTAGATTGAAGGTCAATCTGAGGTGAATTCAAAAGTGATGTTTTGGATCCCTGGTGAATTTTTTTTCATGTTCCATTTGACCAGAACAAAGGATCTGGTTTTAATAAGATTGAAATAAAACCTATTCAAAATGTTATGTTTATACATTGCTTTTTTATTTGAAACAATCCATACCTTAAACTGAAACAGATACATGTATTACTATTAATGAATCAAAAATTTCTAAACAATGACAGTTTTTTTTTGAAATGAAAACTGTCTACAGGAGGTGAAAAGAATTCTATTAAATGATGATGATTTTTGTAAATTTAACTAGGACATATGAATTGTTACATTTTATGTAGAAGATTATTTTGAATACATGTAAAAATAAATTGAGAACAATAATCAGTGATTAATTTGTGCATTTCTTTATTGTTACCCACATTTGTAAGAGGTACAATGATTTGAACCATACGGAGCAAACATATTTTCATAGACTTTATTTTAAATTGAGAACAATAATCAGTGATTCATTTGTGCATTTCTTTATTGTTACCCACATTTGTAAGAGGTACAATGATTTTGAACCATATGGAGCAAACATATTTTCATAGACTTTATTTTTTGATTGATTAATTAATTATTTTTATGTCCCCTGAGTCACTCAGGTGACCTATTGCTATCTGTTTTTATCTGTCATCGTGCATCGTCCGTCATGCGTCAACTTTTGAACATTTTCAACTTCTTCTCTAGAACCACTTGACCAATTTTAACCAATTTTGGCATATAGCATCTTTGGGTGAAGGGGAACAAAAATTGTGAATTTCATGGTCCCTGCCCCCCTGTGGCCCCAGGAGTGGGGCTAAAACCACAAAAATTGATGCAATCTTTAAAAATCTTCTTTACTCCTGGACATCAAGTAGTCAAACTGTTGGCATGATTGTAATAAGCATTGGGCCCTCTACCTAAATTGTGAAATTCATGGCCCCAGAGTCAGGGGTTCTGGTGCTAGGCTGGGGCTATATGGTGAAAGTGCATTATTTCTTTGAAAATCTTCTTCTCTTCTCCTGGGTATTATTTAATCAAACTAAGTGCATGGTTATGACAAACAATGATGCCTTTTCCAAAATTTTGAATTTCATGGCCCCTGGGTCAGGGGTTCAGGTGTTAGGACGGGGCTCTATTGATTATATACTGAAAATGCAGTAATACTTTGAAAATCTTCTTCTCTGCTCCTGGGTATTATTTAAACAAACTAAATGCATAGTAATGGTGCACAAAGATGCTTTTTCCAAAATTGTGAATTCATGGCCCAAGGGTTGGGGAAGGGGGAGGGGGGGGGAGGCTCTATTGATTATATAGTGAAAAAGTATTAATTCTTGAAAATTTTCTTTTCTGCTCCTGGTGATAGAGTATACTAAGTGTGTAGTTATGATGAACAAGAGTGCTTCTTCAGGAATCATGGCCTCTAAGTCAGATGTTCTGGTGTAAGGGTGGGACTCCATTGATAATATAGTGAAAATGCATCAATTCTGTTAAATAATCCTGTCAGCTCCTTAGTGTTGAGCAGATAAATAAAGTGCACATTTATGATGAACAATTGTGCTTCTTACAAAATTTTAAAACTTGTGGTCTTCAGGTTTTGGTGTTTCTCGGGGAAGGGGTGGGGGTGGGGGTGGGGGGCTATGTTTATTAATAAAGTGAAAATGTGTTAATTCTTTGAAAATCTTCAACTAAGTGCATAGTTATGATGATGAGGGTACCTCTACCAAATTTATGAAATTCATGACCCTGGGACAAGGGTTTTAGTGTTAAGGTAGGGTGTGTTGAATCTGTAGTGGAAATCCATTATTTCTTTAAAAATCTTCTCTGCTCCTTGGCATATCGAAGGCAAACAGAATTAAAGTTTTAACAAGCAAGGGTATTTTTACCAGATTTTTGCACATCAGGACCATTTGTTCAAGTGTTCTGATCCAGGCCAGGGCTCTATTAATTTGTATTCAACTGAGAGAAGTTATTCCCCTTTGCCATTTACTTTTGATAATTAATCACTGTAAATAATGTATTTGAAAGTTAATAGAATATAACTAGAGAATAAGAGAATTATGCAAAAAAATTTATTGAATAATACAAGAAGTACTTTCATTGTTTTAATGATCAGGTAGACTTGTAAATAAAAATGAGACAAAAATAACTTATTAAATGTTCTTCAAAGACCAAGAGAGGCCAATGTGAGAGGTCACAATGTGGGTTTAAAAGTAGTACAGAGGAACTAATTGTTTGTTAATACTCTGCATGGTGATAGTGCTAAATGGGCGATAAATTAGAATTAAATGTATGAGTTGTTACTGAATACTAGACTAATTATTTCGTTGATTCTGATCATCCTATTTCTCTTGCTTTGGGGCAACAAAGCTTCATCTATTAGTTTATTTTATACTCTATGGATCCTCTAAATTGTTGTATTGTACTCAGGTGACCGTTAAGGCCCTTGGGCCTCTTGTTTAATTGAACATATTTTATTGACAAAAAGTCAAAAGGATCAGGCTCAAGTTCTGGAATTTGTATACTCTTCAATAATATCCTCAGTTTAAAACATTCCAGAAGGTTATACCTAGTACATGTATGTTCACTCTATAAACAAATGAATGTTATTACTGAATGGGATATATACGAAAATCATGGACTTTCAGACAGTATATGATAGCGGTTTTCTTTTATTCAGTGGAGGCTATGCAAGTTTGAAAGAAGAAAGGCTGGCACCCCCCCTCCCCCCTCCGCGTAAAAAAGGGGAAAGAAATGTATGTTGATAAGTTCTAGATATTAAGTAAAAAAGGTTTTTGGGGTTTGTCCGTCTTCCAAAGTCATCAGAATTTCTAATAATCTTTATTCATATTTAGAGTACAAGTTTTCCACTGTATCAGAGATATAGGGCGGGACTTAAGGAGAGAGCGATAGCTCAGACAGGGCTCCGCCCTGTATCTCTGATACAGTAGGAGACGCCTAAATAGCTAGATGACGTCTGTGTTTTAAAACGCTACCTCGAATGAACAACCCAATTAGGTATGGTAACTGTATTTCACTGATCCACCAATCAGAAAACTTCAGTGTGAAGTATATAAATAAAAAATCAGGGAGCGCGGAAACTTTTAGATACGATGGAAGACTTTGGAGAGTTTGATTTGAGGAATGATGTTGACTCTCGAAAGTTGCCGCATATTGACGAATTCTTAATCAACGAAATTTAATATATTACAATTCAATCCAATTACCGGTAGTTTCATGACCATTTAAGTAGCTGCAGAACTGTATCGTTAGGGTTTTATATTTTAGTCTTTGACCATAACGCTTCAGATCCCGTACTGTAAATAAAGTGCAATTTACGATTTTCTGTGTACTTTGGGGATGTATTTCGCCATTTTCTAGCATTTGTCAATCAACGACCTTTCATCGACCTTTCATCCCCTAATTCTAGGCATATTCTATAACCAACCTGTACATTTTATCCTTGCACCTCCTAACCTTTTATAGTCGTCTCTACAGACCAAAACACTCGTTATGCCATCCGACAACATTCACAACAAGGAGTTTTCTGAAATACTTTAAAATAAGAATTACTGGAATCTATTAAGACTTGCCGGCATTTAAGAATTGTCGTCAAATCAAACATAATTCACGGTTACTTTTTGCCTGCATCTAAGAATTGCCGGCAAATCGAATACAACACGTGTAACATTTCGCAGTAAATAAAAGTAACATATACTGGAAATGATTAAAACTTTATCGGCAATATTTAAAAAAAATGATGGCTACTTACAATTTTTATTTTTTATTATTTTATTTTACTAACTTGATGATAATTTAAAGGTGTAATAAAAATAATTTATGTGAAAAATGCTACAGAAAAGCATAAAGAAAGATGTTTATGGAAGTAAAACAAAGTTTTTGTTACAACGAAGTTCCTATTAAGCATGTTTATGGCATCAAACGACAAATTGCAAAGAAATTTATTATCGCGCTTTTCTTGAACAAAACATTATGTTAAACCCTAAATTCATGGAAATATTATTCTTAGATTTTGAATTTTGATAAGTGTTTTTGAAGAGAATTCTAGATTAAAAAATCCGTCTAATGATAAATTTAAGATCACATCTTAAAACAAGAGGTCCGCGGAACAGAAAGCTCACCTGACTTAATATGGCCCTGCCGTTCTTCATCAGCAGATTTTTTTCACCTATATATTCCTATGTAAGACTTCGATTGAATGTTGTTACACCACCCTATCCCAGGTGTCATGATTTAAAGACAATATAAACTATCTGAGGATTAAATATTCATACAACTAATCATATCTTTGCTGTTCATGAGAAGATTTTTATCCTAAAATTCATATAGAAAAAATTGATCCCCCATTGTGGCCCCACCTTATCTTTGGGGTCATGATTTGAACAAACATTATCTATGCTGCTTGGGGATGATTCATTTCAATATGACTAATCATGGCTTTGTTGTTCTTGAAAAGAAGACTCTATGTTAAACTTTCGTCACCCATTGTTGCCCCAATCTACCCACAGGGGTCATTATTTGAACAAACTTGATTCTACACTACCTGATGATGCTTCCATATCAATATGAGGTATCATTGTTTTTTGTTCTTGAGAAGATTTTGTACAGACTTTGTTCCTATATAGCCGTATATTAAGCCTTGATCCCCACTGTTGCCCACCCTAGGCCCGTGGGTCATGATCTGCAAAAGCACCCATTCAAAAGTTATGGACATGGTTAAAGGGGTTTAGATTAGGTCTTACTCCAAAGTCAAGGAAAAAGCTGTTGGTACTTAAGGGAAGGTCTTATTATAAGGAATACACACGTGAAATATAAAAGCCATAGCACCACCTGTTAAAAACTTAATATGGTCAAGGTTAAAGATTTTCAAAAGTAGGTCAAACTCAAAGGTCAATTCAAAGTATCAAAATTGTTGGTACCTAAGGAAAGATCTTGTCACAAGGAATACACATGTGAAATATGAAAATCGTAGTATCAATCGTTCAAAATTTTGGTAAAACAAAATTTGGTCGAGAGGTCAAATATGTTGGTACTTTTCACAAGAAAGACACATATGAAATATAAAAGCTATAATCCAAATTTATAAAAAGTTATTGGCAATGTTTATTTTTTCGTGAACAAACATACAAGAAAAAAAAAATACAAAACATACATAGGTACATAGAAAATCTGAGAAAAAAGTCAGGGAAAAAGGTTCAAGATGTTTAATCATTTGATTGGACACTTTACATTTGTCGGGTGTGTAAGTGAAGTAGGGTTCATATTTCCATTATGAGATCCGTAGATCACTTAAATTTTAAACAGATAAAAAGAATTGTGTAGTAATTTCTTCTTTATAG